CTTCAGACTTTCAGACTGTAAATTTTCTAAAGTATTTTTCTGAGATGTCCAGATTCAACGCGCCTACTTCAGCAGAGCAACACCAGTAGCGTCAACTTGAGAAATGATTCTAAATACTCAACCTTTTAATGTGGGTTCTTCCGGCAATTTCAAGTTCAAATTCCTTTTCAAGTAAAGCCAAAAGTCTCATCGGAGAGTAAAACCTATTGTTTCGAGAAAACAAATTTGAAGTTGGTCCCTTTTTCAAATGTTTCTTTCCCAATATATAGATCAACCAAAGGCCATTCCACAAAAGGATCTTAAATGACACAAAACTACAAAATAATATACTTGCATATATGTCAATCAAAATTGTTTATTGTTGTAAACAAATTTGTTTTTCTGTTGTGAAAATGATAAAATTCGTGTGACTTTTGTCTCCTCGTGAAAAAAGCACAAGACGCACACTTTTTGCTAGGGCAAAAATTTGAGTCAAATTCATTTCTTCGTGAAAATGGCAAAGCAGGTTTTGTCTGTGGTTTTGCCCTTTTTTTCTAACGCTGTATCTATAAGGATGACAAATTTGTCTCTGCATGCAAACGGAAAATGTGGTTTAGTTGTATTTTGTCCGAGGAAATCATCGTGATTTGGCTGATTTCAATTGATTTGGTTAAAAACATGATTACACCGAGTTGTAGGTATCCCATACCTTGATTGATTTTCCCCCAAAACAGGAATATTAAAATATCACGATTTGTGTCTATTCCCGGAAACGGTGACTCAACAACGTATAGGCCCTATCGATTTTGCTGTTGTTTTTATTTCACAATTACCTCATTCAAATATTCACTTACGCAATTCCTGAAGTAGTTCTCTTTTGTTTATAGACATCAAGAATCCTTTTTTTATAGTCAGCAGTTTCAGTTCTAACTTGTTTGAATTTGTGCTGTCAAATCGAAGTTCGTGGAAACGCCTGGGTGTTTTTTGTTTCAACTTTCAGTTCATTGTAAGCTTTCAAGTTCTTAATGTAAACGCGACATGGCGTGTCTATACATATTGAATCGTTCTGTCACTGTAAGTACTCTGTATTATAATGATATAAGCCTGTGTATGTACTTGCTCAATAGCCATGTTCCAGAGAGTTTGTTTCTGCATTCAATTGGGGACCCTGAATAATAGAGGACAATAAGGTACCCGATTGACAGAGGGTCCCCGATTGACAACCGTGTACAAAACATGTGGATGGTCTTCTAAAAAAGTTAAAGTACAAACAAAAGGGGAACAGCAGGGGGTCCCCAGTTGCAGGCAAATACACACTTGTATGAGCGTATCTTGCAGAAGTGGGTGACAGCTGCCCCGGTGGGGACTTATGCCCCGCCTCTTACACCCCTTCCCTCTCCAGATGTTCCTATATAGTGGCCAAGGAAGGCACAGGGGCAGTTGCCATCCTGTGCTGTGGGAACTCTCGCCCTCCCTCCCACACCCCCCCCGCCATAAGAGCCTGATACGTCACTGTCGTGCTCCTGATTTCAATCATTCTAACATAGTATAGTTGTTTATGTTTTGGCTTTGTCATATTGATACATGTTACTTTAACCTCTAATTTGAAGATAAACCAACCTTGGTTGAAACAAAAGTAACTTCAGTTTGTCTCCCCAGGGCATTTAGTCATAATTCTGTATACAGACTCCATCTCTTATATGCCTGAAATTGAAGTTGTGAAACACGTCAAGAAAATAAGTTGGAGGGATAAATGGCATTTAGGCCTATATTGAAAGAAAGATTCGCAACACCTAGTTAACCAAGCCGTATCTCGCGTCGATGCTGAATAATGACAGTTCTTCTCTTAAGTTACTTGCACGAAGGCGTAAAAGTGGGTAAAAGGGTAACTCATGACTGGTGACAGTTGACACTTAACCGGCTTTAGACAAAGTAGAAATATTAAAACTATTTTACACAAAAACGAAAAAGAATGCAATAGTTGTGAAAGAGAATCCCGTGTCAGCATTGAAAACCATACGCGAACTTGCATACATGTTGAGAAAAATTAACGCTTCTTTGCTGAATTTGGGCGCACAGGGAAGCCAATATTTGCTTCACGCCTATCCCAGTCGTGACCAGTTATCCGACGTTACGTTGGTTCACCCCAGGACATGCGTAATGGATTGAGCGAACAAGTGTTTGGATCAGTGAAAAAAGATCCAGATCCTACAGGCTACAATACCGAGGTAATGAGATAGTCATCCAACTTTGACGTAGTTTCTTTAGCGCCTTTTCATGTGAACACAAGAACTCCAACTTTGTTTGCGTCATTTCATTTGAACCCATTAACAATAGCTAGGGATAAGGGTTTCAGCAGTTAAACGTCGCAAGTGCATGTATAATCCTCGGCAAGGAGGTTCAGAAAATCAATGTCACCATCGATCATTTGGCTGTGAGATCTCTGGGTAGATTTTGACGTGACGGTCGTCATCGCAGTCTCTTTCCTTGTCGTGACTTCTAATGCCTACAGCTAATAGGTAATTTAGTCAGGGCGTCTGCGAATTGACTCCTGTTTTATCACACGCTCAGTGATTTCGAATTAGTTCCCACCGTTGTGTTAAAGCCAAGCACACAGACGATGCGTGGTCTGACGTGCAGTTTGTCCTGTACCGTACGTGGTTTAGAATTCTATTGCAAGTAGCCTGAGTGCACTCGCGTCTGAAGGACGCCATTATATAGCACCAGAACGAGTAATCAGTCCACACAAAAAAGTTAGGCAGTATAATGCCGTGCATGTTTAGTGCAACGTGTATTGAAGCTAGCATATGGATTGGTTGAAGAACAGCTATGGATAACTTTACCAAAGATGATAACTTTTCGTTCGCGTATGCGTGTCCTAATGACGTCGTTTGTCTGCTAGAAGTGACGGTCGTCATCGCAGTCTCCTTCCTTGTCGTGACTTCTAACATTACAAGTCTGGTGGTTCTGGTGTCGACACCGTCTTTTCGCAACGGCCACGGGTATCTGTTGATGTCTCTGAGCGTGGCGGACCTCCTTGTGGGTGGTGTGGCTGTCCTATCGATCTATCCGTCTGCCGACTTCCAAGATACGGCCTACACCTGGCCTTATGGCGACACGGTCTGTCTCATTGCGGCCTACGCCGGTCAGCTTGCGCTGATAAACTCGGGCCTGGCTTTACTGGCCCTCAGCATCGAGCGGTATATTGCTGTGGCCCACCCTCTGAAATATGCCAGTCTGGTGACCAAGAAGACTGTGTCCATCGTCATCACGGTGTGCTGGATTGTAAGCGCCTCCGTGTTCATTACCATCCTCCTCGGTATCCTCCCTCACTCCTACGCCCCGCAGTTTTACATCTGCCAGTCGGTGTACGCGATGACGTCGTTACTCAGTCTAGTGCCGACTTTCGCTGCTGTGCTCCCGTGCTTCATCATCATGCTTGTCACATCGGCAATAGTTGGCCGAAAGTTAAAGGAGAGCGCCCGCCGACGAGCTGCCATGGCCCCAGCCATACCAGAATCATCCAATTCGTCCGGGGGTACCGCTCAAAACTCCATCAAACTCTACCGCACGGTCAGGATAATGATGATTGCTATATGTTTTCATTTGTGTCCATTTCTGATTGTACGCTTTTTAACCATTTTCCATGAAGAGAGTGTCCCCCAGGTGATATCCTTCGCCGCATACTGGTGGATGATCTCCAACAGTTTAGTAAACACGGTAATTTATTACATTAAAAACACCAAATACCGAGACAGGGTGCACGAACTCGCCGCCAAACTTGTCCCCAGTTGTTTTCGTGACCTCGAAGGAAGACTACCCTGCACCTGTTGGTGTTCCAGAAGCCGTAATACGCTGCCGTATTCGTGCGGAAGTTCTGGAGGTTCTGGAAGACCAAACGTAGAACTTATTGTAGTCAAGACCGAAGAACTTCAAGACACGGTCAGCCCATTCAGAAAAATTTAACTGACTGAGCACCAGTTCTGATCATCTGTCAATGAAGGGTATTCATGGATCCACTTGTTGTATGACGTGGTTCAAGTCAATCCAAGTTTAATGTCAATACACGAAAGATGCAAAAACCAGTTGTTTTCATTGTATTTTCCAGCCTGATTGATATGTAGTTTTTGTTGATTCCGCGCAAAAGTAACACTGACGACACTGAACTCACAAGTGGTGTATGTGTACATTTCGTGAACTTTAAATACGTGAAGGTATGCGCTGGCAGTGCGGCGATTCACAAAAGTGCACCTCCAAGAGTTTTAGTGCGTTGGCTAATCCCAAAATGCGACATCTGTCGACCCAATACGCGTTTGGAAATGGTTGGCAAATTCCGCACGTTGGAATTGGCCAAAGCGTTGCAAACTTTTGGAGGCACGCTATTGTGAATCGCTCGTATTCGAACCACAGACATATAAACACATAGACGGACAGCTCCTATTCAAAACAACGGCGGGGTACCTTCGCCGAGACGACATCCGACTAAAACCAAAAGCGTGGGCAAATTCATCCCTTGGTATCTGCCCCGAGCTGAAGTGCACCATCAATCAGCGAAAGAAAGACAGGTGGTTACAAGTACGTTCTTGCACGCATTCTGCGTATACGCAAAGACCAAACATGTCGGAATAAACTAGTTACGCGTACTCAGCGTGCTCCGCGTCAAACGCGCATATACTTGCGCGCCTCATGGCTTGCCTATGCAACGAGTACCAAAAAACCACGCCCTCTTTTGTTCCGCTCGGAGCGGATAGGGGATTTACACACAGTTGATAAATTCTAGCCGTAAAATGCTATGAAGCCATTCTTCCGATTGTGAAAAACAGCCCTCTGTGTACTAAATCTGGCTCATGCAGATTCGAAACAGTGCGGCTGCAACAAGTTAAAAAAAGGGAGCGTCTTTTTGTAGCACATGTAACCAAATACTTGCAATCTAAGTGCGTCACGCGCAATGCGCTATGAACGCGCTGCCATTCATCGTTTCCGCGCCCACTGCTTGCCCATGCTTTTTATAATCACAGGACTAGTGGTCTATGTGTTTATAGAGTAATCCGATTAGACGCCATAACTGCGGTGGCGCTGCACTCATGCGCAAATTCTTCAGCTTGACGCGTGCGTGCATTTGGCAAATCATGACACCCTGTTGGTCGCAGAGGCGTGTAATGCGCGCGTACTACCTGTCCATGAGAGTTGTGCTACCGGAGTATTGGCTTCTAATTCTGGTGTTCGAATGATACTATATGTCTGTGATTCGAGCACCATGAGGTAATTTAAATATTTTGGTTTTCAGTAACTTTTCACAGATGAAAACACACTCATACTGTGGAAATACGATTCGGCGAAAACTTTTGATGGTTTGAACATAATTTTCTTTTCATATACTTGTGGAATATAGTGACTGGTAACTAAATACTATTTTAACTCGGGCAAGTAACACAGGTTCCAGTTTCTGAAAAGAAAAATGTCCTGAGCATAGTTGCTGGGACATATCAGTTCTTATCAGTTCTTGCAAACGAAAGTTATGGGAACTGTAAATTCTCTGCGTAAGGCGCGCAAACAAAACCACTTAGTATTTGCTCATGATGTCGGTTCACGTATTGCTTCATTATTGTGACGATTGTAGACATGCGCAGTATCTATAGCCCTCTCTTAGTTCAAGAGCACACCTACTCTTTTTCATAAGTGCAATTCAAATTGATGTGCTCAACCTTGGGGATTGTATTATTATGTCGAATGTATTGATTTTTTGGTTTTAAAGTTACTATTGGTAATCGTTTTGCTTTTAATGTTGTCCCATGCAAAACTATTTATTTTGCACAATCCTTTTGTTTAATTTGCACTTGAATTTACCGTTCCTGATTTTTAATGTACTGTAGCAGGATCTTAAAACGCATGCTGTTTTTGCTCATTGTCATATTGTTGTTGTCTATGTTTATCAATTGTTGGTTTTACATTTATTCTACACGACAGAATTAAACTGAATTACATTATGCACACATTTACTATGTCACAGTGACGCACATTCTGATCAGAACAAACGTGATTTTTTGCTCAACGCTACTAATAATCTGGCTGTCTGAATTTTATTCAATTTTAATTTTGAAGCATGGAGCAAAGTTGTAACGAACCGTCTAGTGTGGTCAGAGTTTGTCGTATGTATCACTGTTCTCGTTGACGAAGAATAAATCAAAGCCAAAACATGGATGTGCGAGGTATCGATATTCACATAATGGCGCACTACCGACGGCACAATAAGCCTTTTGCGAGTTAAATTTGAAGAAAATCTGGTACACTAAGTTTTTAAATTCACGTGAACATAACAATATGAATTTTCCGTACATAAGACAATATTGCTATACCTTGTGATTCGGGGCAAGCTTTTGCTTAGTTACATAAGAGACGCCTTGCCTCAATACACTGTTTTCAACGGATAAGAAAGGGGGGAAGGAACCGGTCCATTCGAGAGGTGGTGGTCGCTATGCAAAAGCTAGCCCCAATCTCTAGGTATAGCAACAGTGCTTTTAGTCTTTAGAATTCAGTTTATGCTTATGTGAATCGGATAGCTCAGTGTACCAGATTTTATTGAAATTTAATTTGTCAAAGGCTTATTGTCTTAATTTCCGAGTGATATGCAGATGAAGCATATACACTCTAATAAAAACACCGGGTCAGTCTGAGCGGAATCTGGGTCCCATTGGGCCTGGTCCTTTTCCTGATCAAATTACGGCACGCTTGGGGTCATATTTGACCCAGAAAGGGTGTGTCACGCCATGAAATACAGTTAGAGGTGTGAAATGGGCTTTTTTGTTTTTGGTTTTTGTCAGCTGGTTATTTTTTAAAATAGGCCTATACCGTGCAACAAGAAAATAGCTAGATTTAGCTAGCTACTTTTAATTAACTATTTAGTTATTCTTATAATTAATTGCATCACCAGAAAATGCGCACAAGCAATATAATTGTTTCAAATTAAGTTTATAAAATGAAAATAAACAAAATTTACACGAATTTACATAACATTGCGCTTTTCAGCTTTGTGCACTTTCGTCGTGTATCAGAAGTCGTACATATTTAGTTAGAGCCCATATGCACCGGTTTCTCAAAATCTCAATTCAACCCATCAAGGTACCAAAAAGTCTCAGGATACATCGGTCAAAATTGTTTAAAACATAATATGATGATAACCTTTGACAACATAAAGTTTTAGCGTTCGAAGGAAAAAAGATGTGTTTCAGTACTGAACCAGAATATGTAAGAACGAACTCAACAAAATGAATCGAAAGTGAAATGTAACTAGCTAGCAACACACTACCAGACTCTACAAACACTACGGACTCATTTGTAAACACATTTTGAAGCACAGCGGACCCCTTCCATCAACGCTTTCAAATTAAATTTGAGACGGGTAGAAAAGAGCATTCAGAGATTACGAATTTGTGGCGACTGCTTGACGGGACCTTCTTCTTTAAAATTAAGCGGTGCACTTTCGAGGGATTCATTAATGTACGAAACATCACTCACGTAGAATTACGTTGTCGACATTTTCCTCCATGAAGGGTCCCTGCCTACTCCTCAATCCGCCGACGTCTAAATGAATATGACCACTTTATCTAAGTGGATTTTATGTTTCATTATGGCGGACCATGGGGCTATAGTTTCGTTAGACGAGCAGCCAAGATTCTGATTGTCTTCCTGATGTGGCTTACAAATATCCTACCCCATTTGGATAAGCTGCAAATGCACTCCAGCTACAGCAAGAGTAAATTATTTGTTTTCGTATCAGTGGCATATCCAGACTTGAGTTCAGAGGTAAAAATTGGGTTTCTGCAACAACTGTCCATTCTATTCCAGAAATAATCCTTACCACCATCCCCACGAAAGGAGGAACATTACGGTTTCTGATACATTAGCGCTTTCAATTCCTATATGTTTTTTTTTCTTCTTTTTTGAGTCAACACCGTGTTTCGAGTGTACAGTATTGCCCCTAACCATGCTGAACCCAACAAAGTTATGCAGAATTTCAATGGTCCCTGGGGGTTAGGGTTTTAATGGTCAATTTACACCAAAGGTCAACAAGTACCAGGCCAGTTGTACAGGTACCACAAAGTAATCGTGGTGTTGTAATTAAATATAACCTCGAAGGTGTTGGTCTCACGTGTTCAGGCCTCTTCCTGGAGACAGATAACATGTTTCAGAAGATGCGGGCAGGTTGGTTAAACCAGTCAAGGTAAACTGCATCACTTCCATATCAACGTAAGAAACGCATAACACAACCAAGACGCAAACTGCAACGCAGACATTATGGAAACATGCCAAACAAAGATGTCGTTAACAACGCAGACAAACACAACACAACCAGTGAACGATCGGAACTTTGCCGACTGTTTGCGCCGAGTAGCCATGGTATCTCCATACAAACACCCATGCTGGCATGGCCGGCGTACAATAATGTCCCTGTCAGTTCCGAGAATTTGAAAAAATTCTCCTTCATGCTTAAATTACACCCTGATGATCAACCAAATAGGTGACCATCAACAAAATGCATGTAACTGGAGTACAGGTTTGGCATCATAAGGTGGTACAGCCAATTAATTATAAAAGGGTACTTCCTGTAAATAATCGCAAAGTTTCGGACCCATTTTATTTCAATTTGGGTGGAATGATTTCGTGCACTGTCTCTTCCATCCGTGCCTGCTTCTTTACATCTTGCAGACCAACTGCGTTACAAACGACCGGTGGGACGTCGTCATTGTTCAGTTCGGTGTTTGACGCTTCCTTATAGAAACGCACTCTTTCCTTGTGCAGTTGAGTAAGCCTTCTATAGTTAAACTACAGTGCTTTTAAACACTTCTTATCGTACAAGAGACATTAAAATTACATATCATATTTGGACAAATGGGATGTGCAAATTGAGTGGCTCCTGCAGTGACGAACAAGATTTCTTTAGATAGTTTACAGGCAGTTTGTATCATTTTGCACAGTTGGCCAAATGTTATTTGTTTCAACTGGATTTTAAACGCTGGTCACCAAGTGGTCACCTTCACTAAAAGGCGATTTTTATACCTCTGTCTGTTTGCCGATCAGAAGAAATCTAAGCCCAGCCTGAAGGTGGATGCAAAGATTGGCCATTAACCGTATTTCATCTTCGACCCTCCACGTCTTAACCTGACGATAACACGGGGATGCACTTCAACTGGACGACGGGCCGTGAGGGTCGCTGCTTTTGCCTTCTGTGCTTGAAGCTCCTTCAGTAAGTTCCCTTTCTGTCTCAACCCTGTGGTTCAGCAAGTATTTACAAGAGTGGCTGTTGCATTTTTTTACTTTCAGTCAACACTTCGATTCTTTTTATAAAAACATTGACTAGAGAAGCACTGGTTTCACCAAAAGAGAGACTTTAAGGACACCCTCTTCAAAAGGGGCAAAAAGGGGCATGGGAAAAACCAGTGATGTTATAGTCAAATCGAATTAAACTAAGTATTAGTTGTAAAATTCACTCTAAAAATAGACACCTTGAGTTTCGTTGGTACACCTTGTGAGACATTTTCAGAAACGGCAGAAGATGTAGTCGTAGTAGATGCTGCCAACATTTTAGGTAAAGGGTATTTGGTGGGCTTGTAGATTTGTCTTCTTGTAGTAAACAGCGCCCTCTTTGATTTGTATACACAGGTATGCTTAGGATTCATGGTGTCTGGGTTTTAGCATACTTCGTTATACCTCACGTAAAATCCTCCCAAGCTGGGGTCGTTTCCCAGCTCGCAAAAATTGAAGTTATCGTTTGGTTTTTTTTTTCCTATGTCACAATTGACTCCAGCAAGTCACCACCTGCGAAACGCGCAGTCAAGGTGGAGATGACAAATAAAAGATGGGGCTGATTGTTCGCACTGTTTTGCTTGCTGGATGCCGATAATGAATCGCCGGCACTCGAGTCTTAGACCAGCACTATTAGCAGTGGCGGCGAGGCTTATGGATCGATTGCGGTAGTCAATTCGTCGCTTATCCTCTCCTCTGTACACGGTTTACACGGCCTTGCTAATGCGCGACTCTAAAGATCGAGACGCACCCAGGAATCCCCGTTGAAAAGCAGAATACATCAATATGGTTGATGGGAAATAACAATATTGGCAAATCTGCCCGTGCACACCAATTCATCGGTAAGAGCTGGAAAGAGACTGCGTGCGTGTTCGTAATAGCTTGTGTAGACATTCGCTTATAAGAAATGTGAGATGGAATTGTCAAATAATACTTGGCAGATTCATTTTACTCTTAGAAAGGGTAACCCCCTTTTCCAGCATATCTTAGATCCTAGATACATGTTTTGTTTCATAGAAAATTTATGAAAGAAATAGTCCTGGGCATAACTGTTTGCCTTTTGGTTTGACTCATTAAAAATGTGCACTCATTGGCCAGTCACAGCAAGGAAGTGTGTACCGGTACCCTTAATAGAACTGCTTTTAGTTCAAAATCATTTTAATCAAGATCAATTGATTTATAATTTTAAGTTTGATGACTAAATATATCGACAATTATTGCACGACATCATTTGACTGTTTCCGCACGCCTGTTGGGCGTTCTCGTTATGTACGCGCAGGTATTTAGAATCATTTCGGACACCTTTGCGTGACACGCTGCAAAAGTAATGCATTTTCAAAATTTCTCGAAATGCCCTTTAACGGGATTATTTCCAAGTCTGTGGTTCTTAAGCGACCTTTGAAAGTGGAAAAAAATCTCATTAAAATGAAGTTAGAAAAAATATTCTACCCATTTGAAAATGTATGTTCCATGGCACTTGTGAGCTTTCGTAACTTGCTGAATGCAGGTGACCTTTTTTAACACGGTTGCCTTGCATTGAACGTCGAAAGAAAGGCACGCAGTTCCCTGCTACCGCGCTACAAACAAGGTCAGATACAGGTAACTTATTTTCACCATGGACGCAGGCTAGGTCAATTATTGTCAAGATCCGCGTTGGAGCGCCTCAACAACAAGAAGATTACCGTATGAATAGAACCCTTCTGTTCTGCTTCATTCAAAATATGGTGGGGTCACTTTTTGAACAGCCTTGATCGTACTGAATGTATTTCGTGTGAACACGGGCCGTTGGAGACATTTTAATGGAATACATGTACCAGTAGACGACGGATAAGCCGACATGGGGAATTCTACTTCAGAGGACCTCTGGGTACCGGAGATGCCGTCTTGCCCCGGCCCTGCCGTGTGCATTATCGAGGCGGCTGTTGTTATCGCCGTAGTATTTCTCATTCTGGTCGGGAACGTCAGTAACTTGATAGTTTTGCTGTCCACGCGGTCGCTTCGCAACAGCCATGGGTACCTGTTGCTATCTCTCTCTGTGGCAGACCTTATGACTGGACTGATGGCCAGTTTAGCGGTATATCCCTCAGCCACCCTCCAGTCCAGCCCGGACTCCTGGCCCTATGGGGACACGGTTTGTCTCGTTGCGGCCTACATCAAACAGATAGGGATCACCAACTCAAGCATTACTTTGATGTTACTTAGCGTCGAGCGCTACATCGCCGTGGTGCATCCCCTTCGCTACACCCGAGTCGTCACCAAGAAAGTCACACTTGTGTGTATCAGTGTGGTGTGGCTGTTCTCGGCCGGGTTTTTCAGCATCATCTTCGCTGGTTTCCCAGAACATCTCTACTTCTCCACGTTGTACGTGTGCCTGCCGCAGCTCTTCAGCACCAACGCCCTTGCGTTTTTTCTGCTCGGCAGCGTCACCGCTCCCATGCTAGTTATTATCATTACATCTTGCGCTGTCGGCAGAAAACTTCGAGCTGGATTCCAAGGCAGCAGAGATGCGGACACCAGAGAATATGGGACGGGCATCAAGGTGAAAACCTTCCGGATGGTTCAGGTCATGACTGCGACGTTCATCCTGTGCTATGTGCCATTCTTCACTCTCCTCTTCGTTAGCCTATTTGCCTTCATCTCCATGCCGCAGGTGGTCGCCTTCGGAGTTTACTGGCTGCTACTTGCAAACAGCTTCTTCAACACCCTGATCTACTTCAAAATGAACACGACTTTTCGGGCAAGAATCCACGAGCTCCTGGGTTACCTGGCCGCCAAAGTGTCGCCGAGACTGACTTCCGAGAAACATGACAGCCATTCTACAAGGGAAAGCTCGTACACAAAGTCATATGCAAACTCCTTCACGGCGACTGACGGTAACTCGTTGGCCACATCAACCATGTCCATGAGCATACATTGCCATGATAGCAATATATAGGGCCCCCCATGGTCTACCTCAACGTGCATCCAAAAAGAAAGCTGGCAACTTGACCCGCGAATTTTCAACATAATACAACTTAGTCATGTAAAATTAGATTACTTCATAAAAATGGTCTGTTTAAGAAAAAATAGATGATAGATATGGTATTTCACAGGGCCAAACTTGATTGGAATCCTCAAAAGATGACCACATAAATTTTGATCCCACATAAAGATTAAAAATAGCCAGAAGGTTTACCACCCCTACTGCCTTAATACACTTATGCATGCGAAGAAAGTAGGCATCGCGAAGGACTTTTAAGTCAATTCATTGTAAATGACGGTTACGCAAGATTAGTCATCCATCGTTTCAATATTAAAGTTAACTTATTAAAGCTGCATGCGATGTGTCGCGCACTGTCAGATTAGGCATGGGGTGAACACCTCCTCTCGTCCAAGATTTTGGAGGGTGTCTTTAAGTTAGATTTTGATTGTGATTCCGTAGAGAGAGCTGTGGACGCTACTTGCCAGTTTTACTTTCGAAAGCACTGATAACAGAAATCATAACCTCATTTTTACAAATATAAGGTATCTTCTAATGAAAGAAGAGAGAGACACCATGATTTCAATGTTTTACTTACTTTTCATTATAGGTTTTCCCGGTCCAATTATTGTAAACAGCATTCAAATTCGTGAACGTGCATTCGCATTCGAGCGATTTCTCGAAGGCCGTTAGTCCCGTGGTTCATTTTGGAAACTTTGCGCATTCAATTTATTTTGTAGACGACGAATCGTATACTTTCAAGGATTCAGTTTAGTAACAGTATCATTCAATTTCACCGTGCACAAGCGTCACTCATTTTCGCTCTGGGTGACTGGGAGGTGGGTTCCTACCCAAATTTTACTTTCATTTTCGTCAGTGGGCTCTCATATTCACAAGGTAAGCTTTTAAAAGTATACGTAGCCTGAATATTGGAGACAACATAGAAGTTTCTGTATAATTATGATAGGCGTGCAGTTCCAGAAACTTCCTGATCGCCGGCGACCTTTATTATCCCCAACATTATTATTTAACTTTATAAATACATACTTTTCGTCTGGTAAATGCTTTCCTTGGGATAATATCGAGTTTTTTTTTCTTTCAAGTAGAACATTTAGGATTACACGAAACCAACTATTTTTTCCTTTTTTCCATGAATTTTCATTATTCAAGGTTAACTGCCAGTTCTAGGTAATCTTGACCATTTCCCTCAAATGCTTCAATCAAACGACAACGATCGACAGTGGGTATTCTTGTGTATAAGCGAGCACGAGCTGTTGCCATCTTATTTCAGCGTTTGAGCTCATAGAATAAGAGGTTCTTTGACCATGGTGATTATAAGTGTACTAAGAGAGATTACTTTGCCAGTGAAAAACGTTTTCTTCATGATGTAATTTGAATAAATTATTCAAACCTCAAACATTTCAAATTTATAAATTACACTTCGATGCAAAACACTGCACGGATGTCAGATATCCTTGCCTATTCACGAAATCACATGCTTATTACGAGTGCCACATTGCGAATTTGACTGCTGTGTCTAGAATTTTCCAAATTAAATAGCAACTTAAATTCTTTTGTTTAACAAGAATATGCAATTGCATGCTCATGGAGTTAAATTGAATGATTATTTTTGCTGACCGAATATTGATTTGGATTGTCAATCAATTTCGCGCTAAATTGAATGAACCTAACGTTAATTGGAGCGTCAATTTTGAAAATTTGCACGGGACAACCTATAAAAAAATTCTTTTCCCAAAAGTTTTTACTTTGTCCCCTTTCATATGGTACAAACAAGATGGAGTTTTCAAAAAATCAGAATGGGGTTTTCAAAAGGATGTGATGGGCCGAACACGGGAACCTCTTGTGAGCGAACTCTCAAATGATAGGGTTACTACATTGAGAGAGGGTGGCGAAACTTAGTACCTTGACCTCATCCTACGTTGCTTACTTCTGTCAGTTTATCAAAAAATATCAGGCTTTACACCTCTCTGTGTGGTAGAATTATCGCAGAAGATGAAGCGGCACAAGGACATTAGAGAAACGGGGTGCGAAGAAATTTGTGTGGAAAGAAAGGGGGGCATGCTGAAGGACGCTGTTGCTTGGATTGAACAGCTCATTCAGCAAAGTTTTATTCCCATAAGAAAATGCAAGCAGAGATTAAAACGAAGTTGTTTTAACTGTTCCTAATTTAAGCAAGATAGTAACAAGAATATAATATAAAATCAGTGCTCTGGAATATGTGATTACCAAGCTTTCAGTAACTGAGTACCTTCTTTAGGGCAAGCAGATTGATTTTATGTTGTTAACATCCTGATCACGGTGCTACCCAGCCCTTCCATATTTCCCTAATTTGAGCAAGCCTAGAAGTAGCCTATGCAATAGAGATCATCACTTCTCGTTTCGTGAACGACGCCACTGAATTTTCACACCACCGATTCAGCTTGTCTCTTACCAGTCACGCATGACCCAAACACTATGTTGGTACATCAATGAAAGAGGACAGGATGTGCTTCAACATTAAAAATTAAACTTTGGAAACATGTTCAATAGTTACTGAGCAATTCACTCCAAAATCCTGGTTTCCTTATTTAGTGTGATTTTACTGCTAAATTATGTGCTTTGACTAAATTAACAAATTTCGAGAAGGTAAATAAATACAAGTAAATAAATTTACCGGTTTGGACTAGAGTTGAACCTATTTTTATTTTAATATGTCCATGTACAAGCAGTATTATCAGCAACCAAATTATTCCACACCGTTTGACACTGCGTTACCGCCATCACAACTACCTTAACGATACGCTCTCGTTACTTCAAGTTTGCATGGTACTGCTCCGTCTGGACCGTCACTGCGCCTCTTCGTTATGCCCCAAAATAACGACATCTTTCCTCCAAAGATAAGTGTTTTATTTTCATTGCTGTCCTCGTGTACGTTAGGAATGCAAAGGCCTTGGCAAAAATCCTCTCGTGCTCAAGTTTCTTCGATCAAAGGCCGCTGTGTATATGCGACTTTGTGAATCCATTTTTATTAATTTGACCCTACTGGCCTCAAAAACAATGGCTTCGATTCATCCGAAGATAAGTACTTTTTTAATTACAGTCCTTGTGTTTTCTGGAATACAAAGACCATGGCAACATTCTCTTATGGTCATGTTTCTTCGATCAAAGGCCACTGTATGCGACTTTGTGAACTCCATTCCATCACTTCTTAATCTGACCCAACTGGCCGCTAAAATAATGGCTTTGATTCATCCGAAGATAAGTGGTTTTTTAATTACACTCCTCGTATTTTCTGGAATACAAAGACTTTGACAAATATCCTGGCCTCGATCAAAGCCTTTCAAAGGCCATTGCAGGCAACTCTGTGAAATTAATTCCATCTTTTATTACTAATTTGACCTATAATGGCCTGGAACTGAAACGTGAAAATTATTTAAATATTCACAGCATATTCAAACACTGTCTGGTCCATCCATGGACTTCACGATTGGGGAGGGGCAAATCTTCCCCCTGGATATTTGGAAAAAAATTAAAAGGGGAATGGAAGCACAGGAAAGACACGGAAAGGAGGAAAGGATATTAAATTCACCAATACCTTTGACCCCTTTCACCGTCACTGGTTTGTGAGTTTGCTGCTGAGGAGTATAAGTTGCCTCCCTCAACCCCCACAATAATCCTTGTGGTGCCCATGAGTCCGTCCACAGAATTTGCCATGTGTGAAAAAGTCTATTGCAGGATGTCGCATGTGACCTACAGTCTAACACAGTGAGTCTGAAGGCGTGAGAGCCACCTTTGAGTTGAAGGTCTTCGAAAGACTCTTGCAAAATGGAAGTCATTAGAAACCCTCAACATCGTTGATGTCCATTTTTCTCAGGATGCCAGACTGAGTGATATATCACAAGAAAGAGCTCAGTTTGCTCTTTCTGGTGAACACCAAAGCAAAGTAATGGGAGACTTTGAGACGCTGGTGGTAGCAAACATACTGGTCCTTTTTCAAGGTTTTGCGCGTGCTCAGAACTATGCACGCATGCTCTGAATAACGAACGTGCGCTCAGAAGTGGTAAAAAGGAACAGCATGTTTGTTGCCACAAAGCGTTTCAAATTCTCCCATTGGAAATTGACCTAAAGACTCATTTTATAGGACCCCGTCACACTTTCTTTCATTACTGGAGTTAATTAAAGAATACTATAAGTAATGTCCATTTAACAGAAAACGTAACACATTAAAAACATATTATTGCTTCTCGCCTACTTCCACGTGGGAAGTGGGAGACAGAACGATTGAACTGTTTTTAGGTCACATTGCTTTATGAACTGCTCATGCGCAGTTGTGTTTGCGAACCTGTAAATTGTCATAGAGTAGGGTATCATCAATTAAATAGAAATGGGCGATCTGACTGGTCTGAATTTCTCGTTGGGGAACCCTTGTCCGAATGATGTTGTATGTTTCTTAGAGGTCACCATTATCATTGCCATGACAACTCTAATACTCGTGGGGAACTTGATCAACCTGATCGTCCTGCTATCGACACCCTCGCTTCGGAACAGCCATGGGTTCTTCTTGGTTTCCCTGACCGTGGCCGACTTGGGAACCGGTGTGGTGTCGGTGTTGGCGGTATACCCCGCAGCCACGTTCCTGGGCACGAAAGAGGCTTGGCCCTACGGCCCCTTGGGCTGCTGGCTGGCGGCATTCTGTAACCAGACGTTCTCTACCGCCTCTCGATTCACGCTGACGTTGCTCAGCATCGAACGCTGCATTGCCGTTGTCTTTCCCCTCCACTACCCCCGTGTCGTCACCAAGAGAGCGGCCGCGGCCGTTCTAGTGACTTGCTGGACGGCGATAGGCGCGGCCAACTTGGCAGTCCTGTTGGGCTGGGAAGGCTACGAGTACGTTCCCGAGATACACCTCTGCCAGCCGGGGTACTCCAGCGACCCCGTGTCCGCTGTAGTCCTGATCTTATGTTTGGTAGCACCGAGCTTTTGGATCATAGTGATGACTTCGGTTGTCGTCAGCAGGCAGCTCCGTCGTAATGCCCGTCGTCGGACAGCCATGATGCCCTCTCTGACACCGTCTGGTGGCCTCGAGTGCCGAAAGCCGGACCCACCAAAGACGGTCAAGCTGTTCTTGATGGTGAGGGTCATGGTGGTGGCTGTATTCGTCTGTTGGGTGCCGTACTTCAGCCTTGCCGTCGTATCTCTGATCAGGAGGGAAAAGGTGCAACAAGTGATCGTCTTTGCCACCTACTGGCTTTTCCTGTCGAGCAGTTTCTTAAACACCGTCATCTACTTCGTCATGAATAACTCATTCCGAAACCGAATGAATGAGATTGCAAACAGTATCTCTCACAGGGTATTTCCCAAGAGACTACGACAGATGAAAATCTATGCCTGCAGACGTTACAAGTCAAGAAACAAATACACCTTAGAGGATATTTCAAGGCAAACGAATCACACTTCGCTGTCGGTAATTAGCCACTAATTTCTCTTCAACATGTAATACTTGTAATGGATGTAATACTGCCATGGCCTGGGAAGCGTTTTTAACAAAAAACTGATTGTTAAAATACTCGTACGAGTATCTCCATTGCCTTTAGCGCTGTTATTTTTCAAAAGATTGTTTTCATATAAAGCAAAAATACATGTTAAATTACTGTTCCGTACTCATTATGACAAGAGCTGTCTCTTGCTGTCTCCAGAAATATTTTTCTTCTGTAGTTTAGGTCTCAAATAAAATTTTCGAATAAAAGTTCCACATGTGTTGACGCACTGTTGTATGATATGTTCTAAATCCTTATATATGACATACGGTGCTGTAATAATCGAATTCGTATCAAGAATAAATCATGAGGCACTCCTTGAATTGAGCGAACCTGCGATGGGATCACTGATGATTGAGATCAAGATCCGCGTGAAACAATCTGGCCCGAAATCACACATGGTAGAAGGGCGGTTTAAATTCTCTCATTCAATAAACTATATTCCTGTGTCGGCCATCTTGAATTGAAAGTGAAGTTAACCTTTTTATTTTGGGAACAAAAATAACACAAACATAATAAATGTTGATAAAAAAAAATTCAATACGACCCCCATATACTTGTTCGAAAATAAACAATGTTTATAAAATACCCCTTTCTAATAGTCGTCGAATTTGACTGATGGATTGCCATAGTCTTTGCGAAATTCGCCCTGAAAAAAAATTCACAATCGAAAGCTTACTACTTGTCAAATGGGACAAAACCAAATGAGTTTCTTTATCATGGCGGTTTTGTGACCAATGTATATCTAACACTATTAAACTATGTGTGTGCCTTTTTGTAAATGAGATTAGTAAGAAGATAGAATACGTTAATTATAATCGTTCTTGTGTCAGTTATTGGGGCGGAATCAGTGGGGCCTGAAAATTGAGTTCTGATAGAATGCTTCTTGAACCCTGCAATTATTTTCATACGTACTTCTTAAAAAAATGACCTCCAAAAATGTCATTTGGACAATATTTACTAGCATACAGAGAGATTTGCGCTTCACTTGTTTTTCAATGGTTCCCTGCCATGTCAGAGGAACCATTACCGAATACCAGCTGTAAGGGATCTGTTGATGGAAAAATTACCTGATATGGAAGAGAAATGTCGTGCCAAAAATGACCTCTCATCTTCTGAATATTCAAAATACATGACAAGGTCTTGGTGTACTGGTATGCAAATTAAACGTTGCTGATTATTTATTGGTAAAAATTCAAATTAAAAAAGCACAAAACCACTTTGGCAGTCTACATTTTAAAGGAAAGTTAATTTAAAGGATTAGCCATAGTTCGACTATCTCTGATAGAACGCACGTTAGTTGACGAAGGTTGGATTAGTCTAGTCAACTATTTGCCACCAGCTATACCGAGGTTGGTCGCGTGGCTGGTTGCAATAAACCATTTTTAATAGCACAATGCAGAGAGGACCAGTTCAGTAGAAAACTGCCGAAAAACAATATGTCATCGTAGTAAACGGCCATTTTCACTTTTATTTTTGCTATTTTGCCCTTCCTGCAGCCACTTTTTCTCCCCTTGGTCTTAACGACCTGACAACGGTTGGCAAGGGTCGTTCGCACTTCGACTTCACTGCACGCGCACTAGTTACGTCACGAATCAACGTCTAGTTATCTGGTAGTCTTTGGTCGAATTTGCCCTAGATTTCATCGATTACAGGGACGTAAATCTTCACAAATGTATGCATTCTCATTCTCAGGTAGAAACATGAATTTAAAATCAGCCTTGGCGAAAAAGGAGATCTAGGTACGATAATGCCGGAAGTGCAAAGCCGCTGATGTACTTCGTTCTATGTAGAAAAAAAACATGAAACTTCGACATGAGTATTCTTGGGGTGGCTTCAAGTGAAATCATTTTTCCAAAAGTATATAACGTGATAAGGCGGCCCCACGTAAAATTTTCCACAGGCGAGTCAAAGGACGGTTTCGGCAGCAAACCGCCATCATTCATCGAAGTATGGGAATGACTGTTTTTCAGCGAACCACAATAACGCTCAAGAAAACAGAAGAAAATGATAAAATCACAATCTAAGAGGAGTCAGATTCCCAATTGAATCGGAGAAACCACGGTGCTGGCTTCTTCACTAACTTGCTTTACACAAGGTCGATGTTTGCACGTTGATGAGATTCCTAAACCAGGATCATTTTGATGTACGGTTTGATATTTCCCCTGTGCGTGTACAACTCGGCCATAACTAAAGTGCAAGGGAGCAATGAGTTCCTTCCTTTAGGCTGGAAAAGCCAATTTTCTTCCAGGTCAAGTTGATTGAAAACGCAATATCCGCACGTCTGTTGAAAAGTGTTTGCTTTTCGCACTGTGCCTTTATCGCTGGGGAAAGGCCTTAATCGCTGGGGAAAGTAGACGTCCATCAAGGTAACACTTAATTCCACTTTCAGCCATGCAGATAATGAGTACCACCATTTTTATGCGCTGCATATTAACAGCGACAATCATCATTTCTAATAGACTGTTGATAGGTTGCGGCTAGAAGATAGCAATTTTCCTCCCCATTGATTTTTTTAGGGCAATTCCCACCCTGCCCATAGACTTGCTATTACTTTTTAATTCATAAGTCAAGGACTGCGAGGCAAGAAAATACCAAAGAATCATGCATAGTGTTACGAAGTCAGAAATCCATATAACAGATAAAAGAACGGGAAAGGAACACTGGAATGACGTGTGGATCGGAATTAAGAAATTTGCTCAAAATAGAATTGAAATTAATTTAATTATTCAATATTACCAATTAACACATAAACGAAATTAAATGACACGGATGCGCAAAGAATTATACAATGTTAAATTAAACAAATCATAGGTTGGCCATTGCAAGGGGAGGTGCCTCCATGTGTGGAATTCTGAGCCGCCAGCCTGCCGAGAACCAAACAGATCCGAAGACGCCGGAGTTCGTATCCGTTATTGGCGACTTCCGACGGGAGCGGGAGCTGAACGATGACGACCAGTGGGCGAGGTCTAGCACTCGACATATGACTTATAATGGAGGGGCGTGGTACCGGCTAGACATGGCAAGACGGCAGACCCCAGTTAGCGGTGAGGGAACCTAGCGGGTCTTGCCCTGGCGGCGCGGCAACGAAAAGACGGTCCAACGCAGACGACAGGAAGGCATGATGATGTCATGTGCCCATGCAAGGAGAAAATATCCCTGCTTGTCCATCCCCAGCAAGCTGAAAGCCCAAAATCCGCCAAGGGACGAAATTCCAACACTTTTGAGTCCGTTAGGAAATTCAAAAGTCCATTCCAATGGAGGAAATAAAAGTTCATGGAACAATAGCAATCAGCGAGGTAAAGTATGCCAGTCGCAGAGCAATTGGCCCACTTAATTTACATAACCTTTGCAAAACTTTACATTACTAAAATTCAGTGGATTCTTAATAATAGTTATTTGATTAAAACAAGGCCCAGACCATTTTAATTTAACAGTGAATTTTTTTCGAAAATAATTTCATCTTAAGATTGGCGTAGAAAAGCAAGCTAAAATTTATAATAACAAAGCGGTCGATAACTTCTATCCAACCCCCCCCCAAGAAAATGTCCTATATTACGGCTATACTACCTTGAAGGTACACTCGCCAAGATTCTGAACCGATTCTCCAGGAAACTGCAGATTAAACTCATTTACACAATGATTGATTTCCGGTGAGAAAAATATTCTCACTTCAAACATTTGTTATTCAATGTTTCATCTTACCTCTGTCGAAATGAAATCTGATCTGATTACGAATGTATAAAATAAATGATGAGTTTTTTAATCACGTGGTTAGGCTGTTTGTTGAGACAGACAAAGGTCGACTGCTCTTTGGCTGTGTTTGGGTCCTCGTCTCCAATCCACCTTCTGGAGAAGCTGTTCCCTCGACGGTGAGACAACACCCGCACATTCGCTGCTGCTCGCGTCGGTTGAGATCTAAACAAAATTTGGGGATGACAGACCTTGCCAAGTGAATAAGTTTATCATGGAAGGTCTTGTTCATGAAAAAGTAGATGACTGTGTTGAAGAAACTGTTGGCAAGTAGGAGCCAGTATGAGATGAAATAAACATCCCCTGGGAGTTCTATTTCGGTAAGCTGGGCCAGTGAACCTACGACGAAGTAGGGAATCCAGCTCACCAGCGCCCCCACCGTCATCACCCGCACCATCCGGAAGGCTTTGATGGTAGTCGAGAAGTCTTTGCCGCGATGGGCTGGGCTGGGTGTCATCTCGGCCCTCAAACGGGCGCTGTCTTTCAGTTTTCGGTTCACCACGCAGGAAGTCAGCAAGATGACGACGGCGCTGGGTATGATAAGTGCAAAAGTCAACACCAGAACGATCGTGAAATTACTCAAAAAAGACGGTGTGCACGTGCGTAACTGGGGATTGTATCCGTGTCCCAACAAGACGATGGGCGGGACGAAGACCGCCAACTCGATGATCCAACAGCAACCGATCGTGAACAGAGAGACTCTCTTGGTCCAGATCCGGGCATATTTCAGCGGGTGGGCAACGGCCAGGTAGCGCTCCACGCTGAGAATCGTCAGTGTGTTGCCAGAGGTGGCCAAGAAAATATGACCGACAAGGGCCGTCGCACCACAGGCCACGTCCCCGTACGGCCAAGCGTCCAGAGTCCTGTCGAAAGTGGCCACTGGGTATATAGACATGCTCGCCACGAGGCCCACACCCAAGTCCGCCACAGCGAGTGAAATTAAAATGTACCCGTGAGCGTTATTCCGTAGTGACTCCGTAGACAGCAGAACGGCCAAATTTCCGACGTTGCCCATTAAAATGAGGTACGTTACCCCTATGACTACAACGAGGTCAAAGTAGCGTAGTAAAGACTGTGAACAAAACTCCAGTGACGTTGAATTGTCTACTGTAGAATTTTCCATGTTTATTGTATAAACGTGTATCAGTGATCAAGTGAGAACTTCGCAGCCAACAACCAAAAGCGGGTAACGAATGACTCACGATTCGAGAGAGTACATATTTACACGATCCATTCTGTGTATGAGGCGTCAACGAGGTCAGGTCGAAACGTAGAATCTACGACCTTGACTGATTGCTTACATCACAAAAGACTCGCACGTCATAGTTAAATGTATTGGTTTCCGTAAAACCCGTGTTGACAGAGATTCAGAAAAAGGCTCCCTTTGGCAGCTTCCAATTTGGGATGCAAACAAGAAGCTTTGTATACGTAATACAATGTGTAATTCATAGACCAACGTATGGTGGCCCTGGAGGGACATCTGGAGGGACATCGCCAATCGTCCATATTTACGTCATCATGCGCCACCAAATTCACGACTCGTTGTATCTCCAGTCGCCACAATTTTTTATCCAACAAATGTAGTGTTCACACGCACGCGCCATGACTTACATTTTTTGGTTCAAGTCGTTATTCGGCTTGGCAATTTTGGCACAACGCAGGGGAACAACTTCAAAAAGCAATTGCTGTGTCTATAGCCGAGCAACTCCTCTCTCTACCTGACCGGAGATAAAGATACGAGTCGTGAATTTGATCGCAAATATTGGTGTCAATATTCGCGACCAGAGAACTAGTTGTGAATTTTGGTCGTGTCGATTGACGAAAATATTCACGAATAGAGAGCGAGTCGTGTTATTTGGTCGTGAATATTGGCGTCAATGTTCGCGACCAAAGAGTGTGTCTTAAATGTGCTCGCAAATATTAACGTCAATATTGACGATTGGCGATGTCCCTCTGGAGCCACCATACCAATGCCTGTAGCCACGACTGACGTCATAATTATAAAAAGTGTGCACTTGGAACTCTTTTGTACCGACTGAAGCCACCGGCGGCCATCTTACTGTGCTGCATACAAAGGGTTGCCCGTTCTTGTCAACTAAATTTGTTAGTGACAATAGTACTCCCAGAAGCGGGAGAGCTTTTCATCACCTTTGTAAGATGGCCAACGGTGGCTTCAGTCGGTACAAAGGCGTTCCGACTTTAGACTTTTTTACATGACGTCAGTGGCTGCAGGTATTGGGTGTATAGATATATTTATTTCACAGTGTATTATGTGTGAAGCTGCATGTTTGAATCCCAAATTGCAAGCAGCCCATCAAACTGGAAGCCATTTTCAAATGTCAATACGACTTTTACAGAAACCAGCACAATCAACTGTGGCATGCAGGTCTTTTAGCGGAAAACAATTGGTCAATGTCTTAGACGCAACGATTCAACGTGTCCTCGTTGACGCCCTTTAAAAGGATAGGTCGTGTAAACACATCAAGTTGGTCTTTTGGCTCGTGCGTAGTTAGGTGAGGCATAGTCGTTCTTAACCTGTTTTTTGTTGCTGGTCTGCGAAGTTCTGACGTGATCAATGGCACTTGTTTATAAAATGGAAAATTCTACCGTAGACAACTCAACGTCACTGGAGTTTTGCCTGCAGTCTTTACTATGCTACTTCGAGCTTGCCATAATCGTAGGGGTAACCTGCCTCATTTTAGTGGGGAACATCGTAAATTTGGTCGTTCTGCTGTCCACGAAGTCACTACGGGATAACGCTCATGGCTACATTTTAATTTCACTCAGTGTGGCGGACTTAGGTGTGGGCCTCGCTGCAGCCATGTCCATCTACCCGGCGGCCACTTTTGATGGGACTCTGGGCGCTTGGCCGTACGGGGACCTGGCCTGTGCTGCGACGGGCCTTGTTGGTCACCTTTTCCTGACCAGATCCGGTAATTTTCTGACGATTCTCAGTGTGGAGCGCTTCCTGGCCATTGCCCATCCGCTGAAATACGCACGGTTCTGGACCAAGAGAGTCTCTCTGTTCACTATCGGTAGCTCTTGGATAATGGAGTTGGCGATGTTCGTTTTGCTCGCCATCTTCTTCGGATATGAATACGATACGCAGTTACGCGCATGCACCCCTTCTTTTTGGGACAATTTCACACTCGTTCTGGTACTGACTTCCGTACTTATCATGCCTAGCGCCGTCGTCATTTTGCTGACCTCCTTCGTGGTGAACCGGAAGCTAAAAGAGAGTGCCCGTTTGAGGGCCGAAATGACACCCAGATCAGCCCAACGCAGTAAAAACATCTCGACCACCATCAAAGCCTTCTGGATGGTGCGGGTGATGGCGGTGGGGGCGCTGATGAGCTGGATTCCCTATTTCGTCGCAGGTTCGCTGGACCAGCTGTTTGAAATCGAACTCCCAAGGCTTATTTACTTCATCACATACTGGCTTCTACTCGCCAACAGCTTCTTCAACTCCATCATCTACTTCTTCATGAACGACACCTTTCATGATAGACTCACTGTCTTGGCAAGGTCCGTCATCCCCGAGTTTTGTATGAAGCTCAACCGACGCGAGCAGCAGCAAATATGTGGGTGTTGTCTCAGAGTCGAAGGAACGGCTTCTCAAGAAGGTGGATTGGAGACGAGGAACCAAACACAGCCATACGCCAGTCAGCCTGTGTCAGGTATATGATCAATGAAACACAGTATTTATTTGATGCAACACTGTATTACATGAAGCAGTGGTTTCGTTTCGAGAGATGAACCATTGAACTGGAAATGATTAGGTCACAGAAGGTTGCAATCATGTAAATACCCAAAGCTACTGAATTGATGAATAAAAGTAACAGGCTGAATTAGACAGTTCTGAGAACCATGGAATTGGGAATTGAAGATCATTTCGGAGGCAATTCTGTAAGACGGTGGCGATATGAAGGGATTCCTTTTCAGAATGGTCACGCTTCGCGTGAGAATTTCTCCCAAAAGTCACTGGTCAATTGACAGGAATATAAAAGACAACATATTGCTCACAATTTTATGTGTTGCCAGAACACCTGTGAAAGTTAAAGGAATTTTTAGATATTGGATTTTATCAGTGGTGTCTATGGGAATTTACTTGCTTACTTGTACCTAGAAGAAATCGATTTAATGTGTTTGATCTGTAATTTTCAGGAGGATGTTCAAACCCTTGAGGAGTGTTCCGAAGAAAAAAGATGGGCGTATAATTATATGATTTTTTTGCTGGATTGATTTGAATAACCGCTTAGTTATAACAAATTTGCAACCCATAGTTTTTATTATCTCATAACATTGTAAGGTTAAAACTGACACTAGTAAAAAGGAACTATTTTGGAAAAGTCCACTGTTGATTTAAAATGGTATTGGCCATGTATTTATGAAATAAAAATGCGGTTCTGCATCACTCTTTGCTTTTGTCTTTCCTTGCCGTCCTTGCCTTATTAAGTAAAAAAAAGATTTCAATTTTAATCCTGTCCATAAAGTGGCTATTAAAAAACTACCATGCTGCATTTGGACGGTTAACTTACGATCTTAGCGGGAAGCTATCAACAGTATATTCTAAAAGGATTTTTGTGATGTTATTGCGCCCTGCATAAAAATGGGGGTAGTCATTATCAGCATGGTTGAAAGTGGAATTAAGTGTCTTGGAGTGTTGCATTGATGGATTTTTTTCTGTACCTTCTGAAGTAATTAAAGGATCGTGCGTAAACCTTCAAATTTCAACACCCACACGCAAAATTGTGTTTTCAATAAACTTGGCCTGCATGGGAAGAAATTGGATAGCCCGGCCTGGATAGTAGGGAGGAAAAAAGAAATCATCAGCGTTACTCACGGTCCCGACATCCTTGCTTTTTGCCTGTGTTGTTTTCTTAGGGTTTGGTGGTAATGCATGACATACACCAATTTTTTTTCTTTCCTACTCATCTATGAAGTATTCTTTGTGAAAGCAAAACCATCAGCCTCCTCCCGAATACACCACTTCTTGTCATCAATTCTAAGCACAACGCTGTCCGCGTGTAAACACGTGTACAAGTACACCAGTGACTTGAACATGTTCATGACATTATGCTGTGCTGGACGCGTCAACTTTGAAAACTGGGTACACTGCAAAATCTGTGGTGTTAAAATCAACACCACACCATAGTGTGTTACTTTGACGCTGCCGGTGTTACTTTGCACACCTACAAGTGTAACAGTGCACTGGAGAGTGTTAAAAGTAATACATGAACCAAATAACACAAAAAATTAACACCAGTGAAAAGTATTGGTGCAGTCCTATGATAACACCGGGGTTGTTAAATTTAACACCCCAGTTTTTGCAGTGCACCGCACTAGACACTAGACTACAACAAGGGAACCAGTGAGTAGGAAAATGTCTCTTTATGATTCTGCGTGGTTTAAGTACTGATACAACGGTATTCACTACGGAAAACTTTCATCACAGCATTCGGTTATACCATTGTGGTGTTATGAAGAATCAATACACAACGGTTTTGCATTTTGCATTATTAACGTTTTATCCGGGGTTTTCAAACTGGAAGAAACCAATGCTGTCAGGGTGAATCTTCAATATGACGCTAGATTTTATTTTCTCACAAAACTTATTTTCTATTAAAATCAGTGGATAAAAAGCGGGCAAATCAACAATCCCACCATTCGTCATGGACTCAGCTACCAGATTCGTGATAAACTAATGCGACAAAAATCACAGGTAACGTAATTTACCCCGTTTTGTTACAAATGGCAAATTGGGAACAAGTGCATCAAATACGAGTCCGTGGTAACTCTTCACTAAACTTCAGTTAGAATGTTTCATAGGTTTAACAAGTTTGCTTAACATTGAAATGACATTCGTTAATAGAATTTAAACTTTTGTCTCATGTTCCTCAATTGCACTTAAGTTCTTTGACTGACCCGGTAGCGCCACGCTGAAAATTGACAGCGAGTTACCGGAGCTAGTCAGGAAAGTTTGCCGGCGGGGGTCGTCGCCGCACAGGTCACGTCTCCGTACGACAAAGCGTACACTCGTGGTGGGTATGGTCCATTTACCCGGCGGCCACTTTCAACGGGACTCTAAAAAATGGGTAAATGGACATGGCCACCACGAGGCCCACACCTAAACGACTTACATTTAGATATCTCGTTTAAACGAGATACTCAGTCGTTTAAACGAGATACTAAGTCCGTTGAACGAGGTGACGTGTTGGCAGTAATACGCTTCCGTATTACCGACGTTCCCTACAAAAATGAGGCAAGTTACACCTATGACCGTACTGTAAAGACTACAGGCAAAACACAGGTGGTTTTGAATTGTCCACTGAATTTATCGTGTTTATTTCATAAATTGGGATTCACACATGCCGCTTCATGATAACGTGTTAGACTGGTTCCCGTACGTACATGTAGTCTCCAGACGTCTAACAGACGTCCTTCGACCGTAGGGACCGATAGCGTTCGCTTGTCGCCCTGCGTCTGGACAGGCGCTGGGCGACTAGCGAATGGTAGCGGGTATTGAAACCCGCAGAATCCTGCCGGTTTTATCAGTGTAAATGGTGAACGCACAAATCAAGTAGGACTTGATTGAATATATTTGTGTTTTCGTCTTCGTTACTGAAAAAAGTCGCTATACTTGTTATTTACCTAAATTGTTTTTCCATAACCACTGATTCAAAATAAATTGCCATAAAATACATTATAGATGATATTCATTAAAAGAGGATTTGCAGGGATACGTGTGTTTTATTCGCTTTTCAGTGAAGACACTAGTGGCCAGCTTACTATGCCGATTACAAAGATGATGGTTGGCTCTCCTGCTGTTTTAGGTGGCCACGAACAAAATGGTTAGAATGGCGGGATAAGTCTTTGTAAATGTATTGCCTTTGTTCTTGGCACAGTAAGACGGCAGCCGATGGCTTCAACACATGTGGGCTGATCTCGTGCATTGCTAGTCCAGATTTTTTCTATCGTCCTTTCTTAATTAATATTTATGCAAATGTTATTCACGGCAACGGAAAACGAGGCTGTAGGGGACTCGCGTGTCACGATGCCAAAACGGAAGGGATCTTTCCGTGGTTCCCGACATAACGTTCTGGTTTGTGGAGGATTACGTCCAAAAGGGATTCAAAAGCAGTGGAGGGCAACAGCTTGGTAAAGGCTTCAAGTATTTTTCAGAAGCCTTTATTCATAATCTGAAGAGGTAATCTGAAGGCAGTTTATCAACAGGATTTTATCTGTGACGTTTTGTTGATGTTGCATGCGTGCACCTTTTATGTCTAGGACTAAACGGCCAGTTGTCGCACCGATCGAGCAGTTTGAAGACTTTTTTGTCATTCAGCGGGTTACCTTATATGACTGGGCTACAGACGTTATTTCTCTATGCTGGGCACGATCAATCATGGAGAAAGGAAAAGACTGGATCAACCGAACTGCACCAAAGTGCAATAACGCATAATTTATGTACGGTATAGGGGCAGTAATTACGATTTTTATACGAACATCTCAAGTGCCCAAAGAACCCGTTTCAAATTCAAAATCGAAAGTGCCCCCCCCCCCTCCCAGTCTCGTTTGATCCTAACAATCCACTTTTTCCGCAGGATCTTGTTCTTTGGAAATCGATGAAAGCTAATCTCTGGCAACGATCTTCGTTCGTGATTGCTAAAACACGGCATTGAACGATGCTTCGCCATGTTCGCCGACAGCGCGGAGTCCCCTACAGCATAAAATTTGCATAAATATTAGAAAAGGCCTATTGGACGTCCCTGTCTGTAGCCTGTTCTAAGTGGGGACAGCGTCAGCGTTCCCAAGTAGGACAAATAATATTCCTGGAGCTGGATGTCATTTTGGCCCCCAGACGGATGCTTTCTTTCAGGGGCATGATAGTCAATAGCAAAACAATCGCAAAATTGCTCAAAAAGACGGTGTGAATGAGACGGTTAATGAGGATTGTATTCGTGTCCTGAAAAAAACGATGGGCGGCACGAACATTGCCAACATTGGTCGCGTATTTTAGCGGGTGGGCAGTGGGTAGCGCTCCATGCTGAGAATCGTCAGTGTGTTACCGGATCTAGCCAAGAAAAGGTGACCGACGAGGACCGTAGCAGCACAGGCCACGTCCCCGTACGGCCAAGCGTCCAGAGTCCCGTCAAAAGGCCGCTGGATAGACGGACATGGCTGCCACTAGGCCCACACCCAAATCCGCCACAGCGAGTGTAATTAAAATATAGCCATGCGTGTTATTCCGTCGTGACTTCGTACACAGCAGAACGGCTAAATTTACGACGTTCCCAACTAAAATGAGGTAAGTTGACCCCGATGATTGCGACGGGGCAGAAGTAGCATAGTAAAGGTAGCAGGCAAATTTCTAGAGACGTTGAATTGTCCCCTGTGTCATTTTCCATATTTAATGTTATAAACATGGCATGTTTCTGCGATCAAGCCACAACTTCGCAGCCGACAACTAGGAACGGGTTACAAATGACTCTGCACAGGTCAAGAGACCACCTTTTAACACCGTGTGTACAAGATTCATTCTTCGGATGAGGGCGTCATCGAGTTACTGTCTAATCGTTGAATCTACGACCTTGACCCATCGCTTTCATCGCAAAAAGACCCGTATGTCATAGTTTATCAGCGATTTGAAAAGCTCCCATTTAGGGGCAGCTTCCACTTTGGGAAGGAAGCATGCATCTCCATCTACGCAGTACACTTGTGTAGCGTATCATGGAGGTTGTCTTATGTGTACCTGCATGCTGCCGTCCTCAGGAGACTGCTGTCCTCACTCTCCTGAGGACAGCCAGAGCATCCTGGCCGAAACGTCGAGTTAACACTCGCCTGTTCTTAAAGAACCACACCTCTTCCGAAAAGAGATTGATCCCACGGTGTACCCGCAAGCCTACATCTCATGTAACTTCCACCATGCAAAGCTTCAAATCTTACTTTTCGTGCATTACTAATCGCTGGAGAAAGTAGTCAAATAAGGGCATGGGACCTGGTGTAGAGGCATGGTTTGCCGTTCTATTTCTGGCTCTGCTTCTCCTGCTGTAGGAAGGTTCGTTATTCCTGACAGGCATGCCTGGCAGGCGTGGGCGACCGCAGGGTCTGGAGACTGTCGACAGCTGCCTGTATGTAAGAGCCCTGGATAGCCTACTGGGGGTCCATCTCTTGGGTGTGACCAAGGCATCTGAGGTGAAGCCAGCTCAGCATAGTAATTGATGGAATTGGCACGTCCCAGCACCGCCGTATAGGGGACTTTCCCCTTCCACGTGATGCCCATAATGCGGCGGAGGCAGCGAAAGTGGAAGATGTTCAGCCATCAGGCATATCTATAGTGTAGGTGGTCCAGGCCTCACAGCCATAGAGTAGAGTCCTGACGACGCATGTCTGATATACTTGGAAGTTTGCGTGCGGTGCCAGATTTTTGTTTGAACGCACTCTCTTGGGTAGGTTGGCCGTCGCTGTGGCGACTCTCACAAGCCGACTCTTGAACTCTCTCCAGTGACAGGTTACTGGGAACTACAGGTCCAAGGTGTGTGAAAGTATCTACAAAGTCCACAATCTTGCCCATTGATGTTTGTCCTCTTTACGCTAATCGTGAGAGCGAACTCCTTGCAAGCGCAGGAAAGCCTATCCATCACCTTCTGAAGCCCAGCTGGTTCCGAGTGGGATCTAGCGCCGCATTGTCTGCAACTGCATTCCCCCAGGAGCACGCTGGTCACTTCGGTCTTGGCCCACAAGCGAGCAAGACTTCAAGAGTTCGCCATCAGCTTTCGTGTGTAGCAGGTAGACACCTCCAGTAGATGACCCAAACGCATACGTCAGCAGGACGGAGAAGATTATCCCGGCCCGAAGAGGGTCGTTGCGAAAAGGCAGCCCCACTTCACTCAGCTGCGGATTTGAAATGTCTCTGAGGTGTCTCCGTCACAGCAGACTGAGCCCTTCATGTTGTCGTAAAAGGATGTGACGATGCTACGGAGTTTATGGGGACAGCTAATCTTTGCGATCATGAATAGACCATCTCAGCTCAAAAGGTCAAAGGCCTTCGTCTGGTCGACGGAAGCGAGGTACAAGAGTCTCCACTGCTCCTAGCATCTTTCTTGCAGCTTTCGGAGGATGAAAATGCATGTCCACCGTTTATCTCCAAGCCCTATAATGACACAATGTGACTCCAGGTAGATGCGTTGTGTTAGCGTCTAGAGTCTGGTAACAACAACGCGGGCAAAGACCTTCGCAGCCCTGCTGAGAAGGGAGGTTCCGCGATAGTTGTTGCAATTGGTGCGGTCTCCCTTGTTTTTGTACAGCGTGATGATTTTGGCATCATGCATGTTTAGGAACAGCTCTTGAGGGACAGTTCCTTCTTTCCAACACAAACAAAGAAAATGGGAAAGCTGACCCGTGGCGCCCCTTCCTTATGCCAACCAGGAGGGGCCTTTATAACCCACAAACTGCCAGCCTCCTTGTTGTGTCCTCACCTGGTGAGGCTGTAGTGACCTCTCCAGGGCACTGGCCTGGACTATAGAAAGATGGAGATTCTGGGTAGCCTAGTCGTCCTCCCTCGGCCTTGCTGATGGGGTCCAAAGGAATGCAGAGCATGACGTTTGACACCAGCTAAGCTGCAGGAGCTGCCGGAGAGTGTTGGCGTTGCCTTTCTCGCACAAAAACCACTGTTGTCTGCTTCAAAATTATTAATAAAGGTTGTCTAAATAGGGCATAAACGTAACAAGGAAAGTAAGTTGTGTAATGCAGATGCAGATGTTTAATGTGGTCTCATATACCACGTGTGTATGCATCTCAGCCATTTACAAGAGTGCAACCGCCTCCATGGTTTAACGAAACAAGGAGTCCCTTCCATGAGGATGGGCTGTCCAATAACTTTCCAGGTTAAATTGATTGAACAGCCAACTTCTGCGCGTCTGTTTTTAAGTTTTCAAACGGCACTTTAATTGTTGCAGAAAGCAAACATCCATCAAGGCGACACTCCAACACCCTTAATTCCGCTTTCAAGCAGCCCGATAATTACCCTTCGACCATTACGCACGGCGTATATACGCAAGAAACATGTTCTGATAGACTGTTGACAGCTTGCCAATACGTTTGCTATTTGCTTCCCAACGTAAACTGGCTTGTTTTTATTTCTCATAGCAAGTCTGTGGGTAGGATGGGATTAGTTTTTAATCTATAAGTCAAGGACGGCAAGGAAAGACAAGACTGCAGTGTAATGTAAAACTGTATCTTTACTTTATAAACATACAGACAAGACCATTTTAAATTAGATAGTGGATTTATTTCCAAAATGATTCCATTTTAATGTATATTATAATGTAGTTTTATTGTCGTGTGCCTGGATGAAGGACGTAAGTGCTTACGCCCTTTTGCCATGGAAGAAGGATCACTGCAAAAAAAACTTTCCCGGCAAAAGTACTTATGTATGCTACTGTTTTTGTTTAATGAAATGTAAAGATTTTGCAAAAAGTTTTTAAAAAATCCCAAGTCGTTTATTAAGTTGTTCAAAGGTTGCTCTTTATACAGCCTGTGTTGATTTGCATCAGGTAGTGAAAAAGCATATTGCAAATTGATGATAGCTAAGCTTTTATTTACATCTATGCAGCAAAATAAACTCCTATAATTATCTGCCTAGTCTGCATGTATATACTTTTAGAATACACTCGCTAAGAGTCTTACCATTCTCCTGAAAATTACAGATCAGCCACACTGACACACAGATCAATTTCTTCTGTAACCATGGTAACTGTCATAAACGTTCCTGATGACGAAAAATTACAAATCATATGTAGTTCAGTGGTTCATCTTACCTCCTTCGCGGAACCAAAATGTTTCAAGGGTAGCGGCAATCAACGTTGTGTTTAGGCCCAAACAGCTGTTTAAAATGCACGTTTGTGTCTCAGCCAACCTTATTTTCAACTTTTTTCTTAACTTTCCAAAGGGTATTATTTACTGCCTTTTTGTTTTTTGTGCTATATGTAATTAGTATTTTCATATTCCTGAGCAAAGCTGCGATACCGTCCAGGGAAAAAAAGCCTCAATGTGAAATGCCCACCATTTTTGTAAATTTTTCTTTACTAAATGTTCTCCTTGCTGATTCATTGTTGTTTATGTGCATATCAATAAGCAAGCATCAGTCCATTGCTCAGAAATGTTTCCAGTAAGTAAATTCTGGGTTCACAATTTGAATAGAAAAGCCATTCACTGAACTATTGTTTTCCTGGATGACATCACAGCAACAGCGCCCTCGTTTGTCCCGGGAAACATAGATAATTTAAACGCTTAAAAAGTGCACATTTCAGTGCATTTAACCAAATGGGAATGCAAGTGAGTTTTCGTGCAATTGAACAAGAGTACAAAGATGCAGACAAAATGGTGTCTAACCAACGGATGACCATGGGGCAATGTTATATGCACCACGTGTCGGGTAGGAAGGTCCGCCAAATGATTATAGTTACGGATAGCAAAGGCCAGGCGAGCTAGACAATACAAACTTTGAGGAAAGAGTTAGATATATCCCATCATGAAGGAAAGTAATTAAAATAATTTAATTATTGATTTACTCCTAAAATTGGGGATTGAAAGACAGAGAAAAGGATGAATACTAGGCCTACATATGACAAAGAGTTCCGTACTACGAGTAGGCCTAGTGATAATAATATGCAATGACTGTCACATTTGATATGTCTATTGAAAATCCCCTTTGATTATCTGAATTTGTAATCAGTTGGCCCCTGTCAACCTCTGATCATAGTTCAGCTTAGTTCAGTTCAACTCAGCTGAGTTCTGTTCAACTAAATTCCCCAAACGCCAAGATAAGTCTCCAGGTCGATATCAATTATCCAAACGCCTTAATGAAGTAATATAAACAAGAGACCAAATCGGGGTTTAGTTCTACAAGGATACTGTACAGAGCCATGTCATATTGGAATACAATGCATCGACCATGTGACTCACGTGAAAGTTTGCCACGAATTGAGTCGACAAACTAATCACGAAACATCCCTTTTACACTCAATATATGAACCAAAGATTTATACAGAGACTGGAGAAACAATAATTTGACAATGTAAGATTATACTTGCTCAGCAAATGCTACATTCAGACTATTAAAATTACGTATTTTGTGTGAGGAAAATATCCACGATACTCACACTTTGCAGACCGGTCTGGAAGAGTAGAAACCGCACGTACGCACATTCCAAGACGGCGCATCACAGATAGTATCTCGCAGCAACGGAAACTCTAGGCTAATTATAAAGTCCGGTTTCTCCACTGCCTTGAAAACCACCAGATACATTCTCACAAAACAGCAATCGATTATACGCTCATAAATTCAGTTTCCAGATCAAAGCCCATAAATTATGCAGGCTTATAACTGGAAGGGGTGCAGGTGGTGATTTTGCACCCCCCCCCCCCCATTGCGACTAAAAGGTTCACTTTTGAGGCAAGAAAAGATTTCGAGCTATAGGGGGCCTAGTTAAACATTTTGCGCGAAAAAAAATGCCGCGCGCTCGGTATTTTTTGCTTCAGTCAATCCCGTCTTTGGGAGTTTACTTATAACCCTCCTAAAACAATTTGTACGACCTCGTGAATCCTGCTGTTTTTCAAAAAAAAAACAAATGATCTGCTTGGTCCGCTTTGTTGAGGATTGCACACCCCCCACACACCCACACACAAAGTCCTAGTTACGCTCCTGATATGATTACTTCATGGACGGACTATGTTAATTACTAGAGGATGTTTACCAATGATGTAATCGTTTTGTTTCGGTGATTAGGCCCGTAAACCCAAATAACCAAAATTACGAGATCCCTACAAAGCCCAACCTCGCTGACCCTTACACATTTTTTACAAAAATCATTGCAGCGATACTTTAATAATATATGAAATAACAAATGCGTTTATTTATCATATGACAAGGCTTTGGCTGTTTGTTCTGACCGACACGGCTTGACTGGCCTCTGGCTGTGTTTGGACTCTCGTCTCCAATCCGCCTTCTTCAGAGGCCGCTTCTTCGACATGGAGGCAACACCCGCCTATTCGAAGTTCTTCGCGTCGGTTGAGCTCCAAGCAAAGTTTGGGGATGACGGACCTTGCCAAGTCGGTGGATTTGTCATGAAAGGTCTTGTTCATGAAAAAGTAGATGTGGTGTTGAAGAAGCTATTGGCAAGTAGGAGCCAGTATGTGATGAAGTAAACATCCCTTGGGAGTTCGATTTCGGTAAGCTGGGCCAGCGAACCTGCAACGGAGTACGGCAGCCAGCTGACCAGCACTCCCACCGTCATTACCCGCACCATCTGGAAAGCTTTGATGGTGATTGAGAAGTCTTTGCCGCGATGATCTGCGCTGGGTGTCATCTCGGCCCTCAAACGAGCGCTTTCTTTTAGCTTCCGGTTCACCACGCAAGAGGTCAGCAAAATGACGACTGTACTGGGTATTACGAGTACAAAAAGCCATACCAGAACGAACACGAAATTGTTCAAAAAAGACGGCATGCAAGTGCCCAACAGAGGATCGTATTCATGTCCCAAGAGGACGACAAGCGGTACGAACACCACCAACTCGCTGATCCAACAGCCACCGATAACGAACAGAGAGACTCTCTTGGTCCAGAGCCGGGCGTATTTCAGAGGATGGGCGACGGCCAGGTAGCGCTCCACGCTGAGAATTATCAGCGAACTGCCAGAGCTGGTCAGGAAAAGTTGGCCGGCGAAAGCCGTAGCAGCACAGGCAACGTCCCCGTACGGCCAAGCGTCTGGACTCCCATCAAAAGTGGCCACTGGATAGATGGACATTGCCGCTACGAGGCCCACACCTAAGTCCGCCACACTGAGTGAAATTAAAATGTAGCCATGAGCGTTATTCCGCAGTGACTCTGTAGATAGCAAAACGACCAAGTTTCCGACGTTCCCCACTAAAATGAGGTACGTTACCCCTATAATTACGACGAGGTCAAAGTAACACAGTAAAGACAGCGAACAAAACTCGAAAGAACTGCCCACTGTAGAATTTTCCATGTTTACATGTGTCAGTGTTGAAGCCAGAACTAGTAATTCGCAGTCAGCAATCAACATGGGTTGTGAAAGATTCCGAGTACATGTGCCCATGGAAGTATGTACCCAACTACATACATATGCACTTTATACGAGCCAACAGACCATGAGTCGTTGAATCAATCTACGACCCTGACCGATTTCGTCAATAATCACCCGTACGTCACAGCCAACTGTGTTGGCTTCCGACGGCGATTCGAAATGGCCTCCTTTTTTCTGTCACACGTTACAGAAATCCGCGTAGTGGCATCGGACCCACAAATTCACAGCATCGCGAGTCGTCGAAGAGGCATAACGTACCCGTAACAGCTGTCCAGGAACACTGTGCTACCGTAGCTTTTAAGTCTAGTTTTAAATGGCATTGAATTGCCGTGGCTTTTAATACTGGTCGCAAAATTACACTACATGTCCATGTATGTTTTCCCAAAGACACAGTGCATGTTATGTTAGCCTTTAGTTTCCAAGTCATGGACATCACAGTAAAGCTAACTAAACTTGCTTATGTTCCTCCTTTTTGCGTATCAAATAAGTAAGGTCATGAGGACTTGTTCAAGGTGTCTTTCTTCACACGTGATTTGAGTCGGAGATCTTGTGTTTTGTTTCGACAGGGCGCTCACCAACTAGCACATTGATGTATCAAAAGACGGAAAGCTACCGTGTATATGCACATTACATGCTTATATTCTCATTTATTACCAAAATGTTTCAAACGTTGCTGAGGTAAAAATCAACACACACTTCCCACTTCATTTTTATCTGTCCTATATTTTTAAAAAGTCTGAAAAGAAAACACTTTCTTCAAAATGTATAAACTATCTTGAAAGATTATTTACAATTTGCATTGCTTATGTTTTCAAATGTGAAGACTGGAAAACATGAAGTTCCAGATGTTAAGCTGTAACATTTAAACAATACGTGTGTAATTGGCTAAAGATAACGTGGTCATACACAAATTTGGATATATTTGAAATTTATCCCCGACTTCTTTGAGAATTGATCTATTATAAAAATCAGTTTCTTTATCTCCATGAACAAAACTAAATACATGTATGTTCAATCTGTAAAGAGCAGTTACCTTGAGCCTTTGAGAAATACGAAATCTTAGACCTTCAAGGTGTATAGCCTAGGTTGAAGTTTTCCCTTGCAAACTAGAAATTTTCGGCCGTTTGGGCTGAATTGAAAAATTAGTCTACAAAGTTTAATTTAGATACATCAATTTAGTTGTATTTCTTTTCTGTGACACTATTCACCAGTATTACCATCCCAGTTTCACATTAATGATCTTTTCCTCATTGTCTTGATTTCAAATTTATACTCCACTTCCTGTGCCAATTTAGCTTCTTGAAGCATTTCAAGTTCGCTTTTCGGTTCTCTAAACTCTTCTTCTACCACACTGCACCACTCCAATCATGTAGCTATGCTACGGAAGCCCTCGCAGCTTTTACAATGGGACTGTTTACTGAACTATGTATGATTATGGCAACTTTGAAACTGAAAGAAAACAAAACTGAAAGAACGGTTGCAAAACTGCTGATAGACTTTATAAATGTTTCGGCCATCTTGAATTGAAAGCGAGGTGAAACTTTTCCTTTTGAGGGCATGAGGGTTAAAAAAAATACTGATTAAATTAAAAGTTGAAAACAAATTCATGCCAGTTTTGGCTAGAATAATTTAAAATGTGTAATAAATTACATGTTAATGTTTCAAATCACAATTTAAAAATGAGGTTTCGAACCCCAAATAGTCTGGCACCATTCCATTCAACAGATCACACTGAATATGATAAATTCAAGGAACAAGATAAAAAATATGGCTTCCCAGTGAATAAGGTCTACTGAGGCTGATGTCAAATTGCTTTACTTCCCAGGTCATCGTGCAAGTGAAGGCTAAGAGAGGAGAAGTTTTAATGTTGAAGTTGGCGGGGTGTGACATGCAGATGAATGCCATTCTCGCCTCGCAGGACCAGTGAATTGATTCGCAACACTGGGACAGATTTATCGACGGACACGTGGAAGTTGCGCAGGATTGTGGCGGATATGATCTTCATCTCATTCAAGGCAAAGTGCTGACCGATGCAGTTCCTGGCCGAATGGCAAATGAAGTGGGTTATTCAAATTCAATTACTAATATTCAAGTATTTGATAGTTATTCCATTTATTTCTCACTTAAACTTGGCATTTGGGACTAAAAGAAACCCAAATGAAGTGTTGCATTCAAACATAAGAGGAAATAGGAAAACCTTAAAGTCTTTTGCTTGACGACATTCAGAATGTATCAACACCAAATTGATGGGGCGTGTGGCCTAGCGTTTGTTCCTTCTAATAAATGGAGTGACATAGGTTGGCACGGCACAGGCCATACTTTGCTAAGGCTAAGCTAAGAACAAATTCGTGGATCAGTACTACAAGGTCTTCACGGCGGTCACATTTTTTTGGCAAATACTCATCAAGCCTTATTGTTAGCTTGAAAGAACTGTTTAATTGATTGGAAATAGCACGTTCTAGATTATGTTATTTGTACAAGAAGTTTTTGGGGCCAGTATACATAAATTTCACCTAATCCTATTGCCCGATTACACAGTTTAAAGGAATATTTTTAAATAGTTTTTCAAATAGAACATTTGAGTACTAACATGCCAAATCAACCAGTTTGTTTTTGGAATCTAAGTATGCATCTTCCATGTACCCTGGACCTGTTCCAAATGGTCACCCCAAGCCTCTCTCCTTTCTTCTCCTTGAGGGGGTACTTCCAAACACTGCGGATCATCCCCCCCCCCTAACATAGATAAGGACAGTATTATGTAACTGTAGGTAACATCTGTTGCCCGTAGACAAGGCGTACAGTGTCTCTCACCTGGGCCCAGCCGAGAACGGCACGTACGCATAGGGTGGAATATCTTTGGCTTTCTCTGGTGAAAACCTCTCGGGATCAAAGGTTTCGGGGTCATCCCACACGTACTGGTTGTGGTGTAGAGCATTGATTGCCACTGCAACAAAGGTCCCTGGGGCAAAATGCAAAAATTAAAGGCCTTATTATCTGACAGGCTTCTGAATGTATGGTAAATAGATAATGGCCCAGATCACCGATAAGCAACCTCTATAAAATATTGAGGTTGTCAATGTTGTCCTGTGCTAGTTAGGATACAGTTACTCTCTTAAAGCCCATTTTCTCCAGTGCTAGATTTGGGCATTGCCAAAAATTACCTGAAAATAAAAAAGTGCACAATAATGCAACAAAAGACCTGGAGAGGTCCATGTTGCCCCAAAGGAAGGCTTCTCAGTACCCTTTGCATTTGATGCATGGTTGACGACTCAAAAGAATCAGCAGCGGAGTGGATTCAGAAGTGGGGGGGGGGAACCCAAGCCATTAGACTGAAAAGGATACAATTACGAAGTTGCAATGTACCTCCAACGGCTGGTGGGCTTATAAAGTGGGGGAAGTAACTACCTTTTCCAAGGTGGGGGCAATACCCCCCCCCACTCTGCCACCAGTGACTCAAACAGTCTGTGTTTATCACAAGAGACTCATCTTTTCACAGCAGGTCATAATGACAGTCTTGTGAAAGAATATCATTATTGTCTCTCCATGTTGAAAAACGAATGGTTGTTTAAAGCCCAGCCATATCTTTGGCAGCTAACCTTTTGGCAACTTCCTACCATCAGGAAAAGTCAAAGACTGAGTCAACAACCTCATGACATTGGGAACAGGGGAGTGTAAACGAAGGCTCTCCTTCAGACACTTGGTCAGATAGGGCATACTGGTGAGATCATCCCTATCAACAAAGAGAACAATAATATTACAGTAATGAAAAACTACTTCATTGGCAGGAGGAAAATGTTTTGTCAGAGTGCAACAGTAAATCACACTAGTTTATGACTGGCAAATTTTTTAACTCAAATGCCAGCATTTTTCTTTTTGTTTCAAAGGCCAGATTACAATCTTGCAAGCATTCATTCATGTGAACTCTCAAGACAAATCCCTCAGAAAAAAAATTAGGAGCTTACACTCCAAGGACTTGGAATTTTGGTATTCATTTAAATTACTTGACTGTGGCTTGATATTAGGCCTGACTCTATGGAAACTGAGATGAGCAAAATTCCTCAAGGAATGTTTGAAGCTCCCCAGCCTTTCAGGTGCTTCCTTACCATTCCAGTCGGTCGTTTTCCCTGTCAGCTAAGAGACTGTCAACTTCCTCTTGGCACTTCTGTTGGAATTCTGGCAGCCGGGCCATGTCATACATGAACCAAGACAGGCCTGATGCTGTCGTGTCGTGCCCTTCAAACATGAACGTGTCCACTTCGTCGTAGATTTCTTGGTCAGTTAGTCCTTGACCGTCAGAATCCTAGACAAATCGAGGGCACAAAAGCAATGTGGACTTGCAGTTTATGAAACAGAACTAATACTGGGCCTTATGAAACACTTCACTTGAAGAGATGTGGAGTGAAGATTTTTGACAGCAGCACTTTCATTGTCAAGCAGAGGAAAAGTTTATTGTAAAGTGACAGACAGACCAAACTGCTTGCCATTAGTTTACCTCATAACGACCACAACGGCTTCAAAATGCAAACTCAGCAGAGAAATTCTTTCAAAGGGTTTTCCATACGTGTGCAAAGGCTGCAGGCAAAAACGAAGGGGCAAAACCTCAAGGGTTTTGATGGGCTAAAGACTAGGATGGTTGAGAACCAGTTTTGTGGCTTAAACTCTGGCACATTCAAGTCAGTTGTTATTTCCTCAACCAGTTTTCTAACCCTTGCGCAGAGCAGAATGTCCAAGAAGTCGATGTATTTCCTCTGTCTTCTTTGCCCGTTGACTGCCTCTTCTTTCAGTGCTCCCTTGCGCTTCTTGATGATATCCCGTGCGTAGGTGTGGAGAGTATCGCAAGCATGGCGGAAGCGTCGCCCACTGGGACTCCACTGGTAGATTGCGTCAATGTGGTACGGAAGGAAGCGAAAACGTTCTACAATCAAGGTGGCTATGTCATAGATGCCCTTGATGTAGGGATGATTTTCAATCCTGAATAGGAAAAAAACACAGAAGGTTGTATTAGCAGCATTAAATCTTCCCTCTAGGAATAATGCTCAGTTCCCATCGCTGCTAAACAAACTGCGGATGAGGATTTTAATTCAGTGGCCACATGACTGTGCATTTTCTGGAGAAAAAAATTGAACGTTCTTTTGTTCTGACTTTTGCACAGGTTTCTCCAAGTTGCAGACTACAGTGTAATGGGCGATACTGAGGAATCTTGGATTCAAATGTAAAGAAATGAAGTAAAGCGAAGCACATCTCTCCTACTGCTGATGTCAATGTGAGTGTTTACATGAAGCAGCACGTGTATGCTTTTTAAAGTACAAAATCATGTGCTTTCGACTAGCAACGTGCTACAGATTCAGACATCTGCTCCAAACTTTGAGACAAACCTACGTAGTGACAGCTTACGTTTGGCAGTTGGTCTCCACACTGAATATGCACTTGAGGAGGCTGTCCAATGTCAACAGGCTAATGTTACTGAACATCTCCATTGAAGTCTCTTTACCACCACAGGCTGCCTTCCACTTCTCCTGTGTTCATCAAAGCCAAAGGGGAAAAGAGCTACACCGTATCAAACAGAAACACTATACAGGGGGATGGGGGAGGGGGTGAGGATGCAGTAGCTAAATCATGTGATCAAAAGAAGCCTGTTTCTAAAAACAAACAGGCTAATTGCTCTACCTAAAATCAACTGCATATAAACATCACTGCATGATACATATTTGAGAATCCAGCACTCCTTGTAGCATCTGCTGAAAATAAGAAGTAGCTTTTGGGGCAACAGGGTTCTTCAGTGTTTTTCCAATTTCCATGCAGTGTGTCATCATGCACTTGCTCTGGCTGGTTTTTTTTTGGAGGGATGGATGGCACACTGCGGACTGCAGAGTCAGTATCTTTTCCAACAAAAACATGATATTCAACTGGTTCTCATATGTAACGAGCAGAAACTCCAGATTATCATTTATTGCAGGACTGCTTATAGGGCAATTTCATAAAACTATGCATAAGGTAATTACACCAGTGCATGTTAGGCTGCAAAGTGTACACCCACCAGGTAGTGGCAGGTACATTGGTAACGACAAATACATGTACACGTATATGTATAGTGTTGAATATCTGGTCATGTTCACTGCAATCTACCTATCCCTCCCTTTCCAATTAAACATGCTTTACTTACGACAAGGATATCTCCAGATTTCTGGAAGATGTCAACGTATGGTTTCAAGATATCAAAGTGGAAGCCGGGTGTCAGTAAGCGTCTGTTCCTTGCCCACTTCTTCCCACCTGACAAGAGCAGCCCATCTCCAATCCAAGGACGTAAAAGTGAATAGGTGTACTCTGCCTTGGGCTCTAAAGTTCATAAGTATGAGGTTTAAGGTCATGTGTACAAATCATAGTTTAAAATTTCGAGAAGTAAAGACATATCAACGTACATGTATGACCTCCCAATTTGTTCATTTGTACCAGTGTTGCATATTAAACAGTACACTGTATTCCTATGTCAGCGATCTTGAATTGAAAGTGAGGTAAAACTTTTCATTTCGGAAACCTGACAGTAAAAAGTACAGTTATAAAATAAAAGTTCAGACAGATTCGAGCCCAACACATCTTGCTTCAATTAAAAGTTGAGTTGTTTTCTTTGGCCGAAATTCATACCATGTACGAGCAGATTCTTGGTACATGTATTTCCTGCTTCTTGTTTCTCCTGCTATTTCTTTTTGCCTTCGTATTTCTATCACTGTCAATTTTTAGCTGTTCCCAATTTAGATTGGGAACAGACATTCTTTTCCTTTTTCCCCCCTTTTCCACCCTCCTCCATAGAGTACTGAAGCATGACTTCATGTGAACCAGAAAGTGTAACACAAAGAAATAGAGTGCACGCACCTGCTCTACACTTTTAGAACTAATAAAATCCAAATTTCTCCAACCTGGAAATTTTTCATCACGATGCCATTATAAGTAGTCATGTGATGTCACAATAAGCCACTGTTATTTGAAGTACTTTATCTCAGGAACCATCAATCTGATCGGGTTTAAAGTTTGCACATGTGCAGACCATATGAGTCACACGTGAAAATGGGTATAACATCATGATGACATCATCATGGTATTTCTTAAGAATTGTTTTATTACCGATTTCTGACCAAAACCTTAGCTAGTCCAACTTGATGTGCATGTTACTTTAAAATATTTTGATGTTATCATGACATCATCAAAATGAACTTTTAAACTGAGATAATCGCAAGGGAACAACCACTCTTAAGTAAAATTGGCAGATAAATACAATATGTCCCAAAGACAACAACTTGAAGTAATTTCACTCTGACATAATGTCACTATGGACTGGAACAAAATGAACCGAAAGGAAAGAAAATAAAATTTACTAAAAAGCAATCAAGTCCAATAGTAGTACCTATTGACTACAGTTATACTCCAATGCCATGGTAATGTTAACATTGAAGAGAAAGCAGAAGGTAATGACACATGCACCAATACATACCTGCTGAGCTGAGTACAGCTTTGACTGTGCCTGGGTGGTACACAGAGACGACTGGCAAAAAGGGGCCTACCCACAGGATTGAAGCATCAACTGATTTACTCACAAACTGAAGTCCCCACGTGAATTCTCTCTCGTCAAAAGTAAGCTTCAACATAAACAAACATAATGGATTATTTACCTAGCATAATGTAGCACCAGTCATCACTTCATGTGTACAATTGACAAACATCTACAAATGGACAGAATGAGAGAGAGAAATTTAGTGTATGTCTGGTCAAGACATAACTGAACAAGCTATCAAAGTTGGATTGAAAACTCTCAGGCAATCCTGGAAATCCTTCAAGTGGAAAGGTTGAAAAGAACCGGATTGGACAATATTTCAGCACTAGACCCAAAAACAAAACCTTGATCTATTTGAAAATCCCAATATATCTGGAAGCTGCAAATATGAAGTGATTTTGTCATGGGGTAACTCAGAAAGAGCAGCTGGACTCTTTGCTTTGATCTGTTACTGAGTTCATCATCCTGACAAAAATATTACGTGAGAGAACCATGCCGAAGGTTCTGATTGACTTCCATTGTATGTGACTGTATTCAAAAGAGATTCTGGTAACTTGCAACTCAAGTCACAAGTAACGTGCGTGTGGGTCTGTCTTTTGGTTTATGGACTTAGTTGCTTAGTACAGATACATGTATGTGCTGAGAATCTTCTGATCTGCTTTTGGACAAGTTGTGATCACACTAGGCAAGGATGATACCGACCATACATGTATAACACAAACACAAGCTGCTTCAGAACCAAACATTAGCTGACATCCACACAATTCCCTTTTCACTGAAAGTGGTCTTCAGGATCGCTAAGAAATGTGTCATCAGTCACAAGTAACAGGGAAGAGAGTGTGCAAAAGGTGGTGTTTGTGCAGGTACCAAAGGTATGGTAAAGTAGGGGTTGAATTTTGGTTTGTTACTACTTCCAATGGCTCCTCATAGTACATTGAGAAACTTCTCCCATAATGCTCTTTGGCCCCACCTATGATGCAGCCCCTCCACACTAGAGCTTGTCGGTCCAAACTATATAGCTGGACGATTCAGATTAGTGTTGCATCTGGGCTGGACCTGCAGTACTATTGCTGTGCCCATCACTAAGGGGTGGGGGGCCAAAGGCCCCCTGGCAGGATGTTGCCCCCCCCAGCCATCAGTAAAAAGCATTTAGCATAAAAAGCACATTTTGTTCTTGTGTTGTGGCCTTCCTAGCTGATACTGTGGTGCCCTTGCCTGAAGCTGGCGACGGGGCTGGGTTAGTCCAAAATGTTTATTGGGACCAATGCTGGAGCATGTACATGTAACAATATTATCTAAAACCTCTTTGGTTTTATAGATGACTGTTTCTGCATGTGTGATTTGTTTCTCCTCACCTTACGAAACATCCAAACAATGTCTGCCAAGAAAATGACTGATTCATGAATGCATGAAGCCATTAGAAAGGAATGGAAGTCAGCTGATCACGACTTGTCTATGAGAACATGTATCTTGTAGATTTGCATTAATCGGTTACGCAACAGCAACAATTGCAGTTATATATCAGCCATCAGAAAGCAATACCATGCCATAAAAGGTATATTTAGATGGGAAAATGCTCCGAAGTATTTACTTCGAAAACTGAGTTTTGCAAGCCAGTATAATAGGGTTTGTGCATTATGTGGCAAGTGATGTCCGTGGATGCAGGAACTCTTTCCAGCACAACTTTCATGTGGGTCCAAAAGGAACATCAAGACAAGACACAATATCCAATCTAGGCTACCCTATTGTAATCAAAGAAATATACTGAGATGATGCATCTAATCCTCTCTTATCTTGACCTCTCTTATCTTGAAACAATCAGATACTTGATAAATGTTTAGATTACACCAAACATACACCAAACCACACATTAGCTCAAGTAACTCATGCCTTCATGCTCACAACATCTGGAAATTCCAGAATTTCCAGATGTCATGAACACAACTACAGTAAGGCTTGAGACAAGAATACCTTATGAATGTGACCCAGGAGCCAGTGCTTGTCGGGGGCTGTCGGAAATGCCGCCAATTTTTTCTCCAGCTTCCATTTCTGGATGAAGAGTACCACCAGAGCCACAATGCCAGACATGACGCCCAGTGTGGCAAGTGTCACACACAGAACTGCAAAGGATTCACTGAAGCCCATCCTTCTCCAGCAGAATCAAACATGTAAAAACAATTAAAGCTGACCTAGGCCTACCTGCAAAACGACAAAAAAATTTTGAATTAGGGCCTACCCTACTTCCCATACAGCCAGAAACTATCATGATGTCAAAGAGTAACTTTAAAAAGCTTATTTTCCGGCACACGCCCGGAAACGTGCCTAAACAAAATAGACAAAATCGGTGGATCTATGTGATCGGTTGATGCGTTTCCCTGCATGCAAAACAACCTGTGACACTACCGCACTAGTCATGCTTGTGATGACAGTGGTCAGTGACTAGTATACCCGTAGCAGATGACTGGCATCGCGACAGTACTCACGATAGCTGGGCCTACCGTAACTAAGAAAGAACATGCGAAAAGAAGTCCTAAATGTATCTTGATACTTGCAGTTGCTGTGAACTGAAAGTAGACTCAACAGAAACCAAGCTGCTGCAAATGACAACGAACGCTAGCAATCTACCTCCATGGTATCACTCAGTATCAAAATCAGACAATGGGCAGAACAATGTGATGTTTACATTTTATGTAACCATAAGATAAGGCGGGCGCCCGAGTGCGCGCACTTTTGCCAAGGCAGGTGGACAGGATCCCAAGCCCCCATGAAAGCGCACATTATTAATGTACGCAGCTAATCGCAGCAAATCGATGCGCAAAACAGAACACCGCCCTCAGACGAGTATGTAATAGCATGTCCTTACCGTGCTGCGAGGTGCACCGTACAGGTGCAGCTGCCTACGCGCGGCAGCTCTCGACATCTGCCTCTCGTGCTTGCGCTGTCAAGTTGTTTGCTATAGGGTACACCCAAATAAATTCCCAGACAGCAGTGATAAATCCCCATACTTCACAAATATTTAAAAAATACAACTCTCGCAGGTGTTCAGGCTGCACAGAAAAAAAATATTTCACATGTCCTCTTTCATTTTCCTTTCAATTTTTATTGGGTTGACCAATGACTTTTTGAGAAATTCTCATCCAAAGCAGACCACCCCTAAAACGAAGGGAATTTCACTGCCCGGGAAAGCAGCCATTTTGAAAATGCATCCCTCTGCAAAATGGCCCAAATAGTGCCACTTTCGGACCCGATTGTATCCAAACTGCTCAGAATTGGAAGCCCGAGTCCGGCCCAATATTTCTTCAATTCCCCACTTCCATGGCTCTCAGGAGGCTCTAATACAGAATATTTTGAGTGCATAACTTTTATTAATGAGCTCGGCGGACATATTTCTGCCTAAATACAAGGATTCACCCTATAGGTACAGTTGAAACAGAAAGAAACAGAAAGGTATCCACCAGAAAGAAGCCATTTGAGCAGTCGCCCTCGAACTACAGGCCAAAACTTGTGCCCGATCTCAAACAGTTGACTTCTGCAGGAGATATTGTTGTGTCTGTTTCTGTGAGTAAATTGCACCGATAAGAACTCTCTCCCTCCGAGAGCTGGCCGTAATTCAGAGGATGGGCGACGGCCACGTAGCGCTCCACGCTGACAATCATCTAAGGGCATCAATGAGGTCAGGTCGAATTATGATCTATGACCCTGACCGATTTGTCCTCTAAAAAGACCCTCACTATATACTTTTGTGTTGGTTTACGTAAAACTCGCGCTGACAGCGATTGAAAAAGAATCCTGACTCTGGACGAATTCACAAAACCTGATTAGTCAAAGAGGAATGTAAACTCGCGCGTACTACCTGTCCATGAACTATCCGCCATCGGAGTAGTGGCTTCTCGTGCTTGTCGCCGAATTACACTATACATGTAGTTCGGCGTTTTCCAAAGATGCAGTGCATGTTATGTTGGCCAAAAGTCCCCAAGTCATCACAGTGCATTTAAATAAAATTTGCTAATTTTTTTCCTGAAATAAGTATAACATGGTTAATTTGTTCACGGTGCCTTTCTTAATTAAGGATTGATTCGAATCAGAGACCTTGTATAACATTAAATTGAATACTATTCGGCAGAACGTTCAAAAGAGAGACAGCTACCGGCGGTATATGCTCATTTGCTTAAACTTTTAGTATTTACCAAAATGCTTTTACCCTGAGGTAAAAATTAACACACACTTCCCACTATGTTTCTTATATTTATCACTCCTGAATTTAAAAGAAGCCTTAAAAGAAACATTGTCCTTCCAAATGTTCGGAAACTGTCTTGAAAAGATTATTTACGATTTGCATTGCTTAGGCCCAAAAACCCATCTGCTCCGGTTTCCTGACCGATCCTACTTTTTCTGTGCAACCCTAAAATTTTTGTACGCAAGTTAAGAAAAACAATTTTAAAACAATTAGCAAAAATAAATCCAGTTGTCTTTTCTGTCTTCACAAAACACCTCTGAAAAAAACATTTCTACGTTAAACCGCTCGTTTTTATAGTTTTTCCTATTTACATTTTGAAAATAAGTTTCCGTTTTTTACGAGTTCCTTTCGCTGTCACAGTAGTAAAAGCACGTGTGCGCCACGTCCCTGCGAAGGGGCCATCCATAAAGTACGTACTCACGAAGGCAGAAGGGGGGTTGGTGCCACTGCGTACACCATGCGTACAGGGGAGGTCTGAATTGTCAGCATTTTGTGGGTACGTACTTTATGGATGACCAGAAAGAACGCTTGACCGAAATGTAGCAACCAGTCTATACTTCCCGGTCAAAAAAGGCGTCGTTGCAAAACATCGGCCGTACACCCACACAACCCTACACCTGTCGAAAAACATCGATGTTGCAAGAAGATATCTGCAAGTTAATTCACAGAACCTGGTCTCTTGTCTACGTATGTATTTTCTGTGTTCACGAGTTTAATTTGACGTTGTTTTGCTCGCACTTTTGTTCGTAGCGAGCGTGTTTCCACAAAATTTCCTGCCGCAGCACGAGGTTATCCACCCGCCCGCGGTCTGGCTGGATGCATCACGCACGCTTACCACGCGATACATGGACATTGTTGGCTAGTGTGCCGTCAAGACTACCTGACTAGCATTGGGCATAGTGGTGTGAATTATTTGTAATTCTTTTGCAGTGTCAACCGTAGAAATGTTATCGAAGATTAAGGCAAGTTTTTATCACTTTTTGTGGCAATTTTGGAAGCTTTTGTCCCCATTTTGGTATATTTGAAATTGCTCCCTGATTTCTTTTGGGATCAATAAATTGTAAATATCATTTTCTTTATCTCCTTTAAAAAAGCTAATATAATCTGTAAAGATCACAGTTAAGTTAAGCCTTCGGAAACCTTAGACCCTCAAAATTAAAAGTCTTGGTTGAATTTTCCCCTTTGCAAAATAGAAATTTTCGCCCGTTTGGGCTCTATTGCAAAACTAGGCTTTGAAGTTGCTAGTAAGACACATTCAATCAGGCATATTTTTGTGACCGTATTCACCAGTATTACTATCCGGGTTTTGAAGTTATTAAATTTTTTTTGTCCTGCATTTATATTCCACTTGCCACTATAATTTATCAGGCATATGAATTTGTTGATGCAATTCCTTGCGTATTTAGTGCCAAATATGATTTACTTTCGTTTCACTGATAAAGTCATTCAGTGTTAGCTTGTTAATGTCAAAGAGAAACACGCATGGAAAGAGATGTGTTATCAGAACAAGGAAAATGACCCATTTTATTCTGGGGACGCTTTGCTTTCATTTTGATAAAAAAATCACTAAAATAATTAAATTAAGTGAATTAAATAGGCCAATGCATATAGTGCATATCTTAACTCGTAGCGCAGCGCAGCGAGCCACCATCATGCACTGTTCTGCCACGCATTTCGCATAAACAATGTGAGATTATCATTTAGGTAATATTAATGTGGTCGGGCATAGAGACAATAATAAATATGACAGATATCTGTGAGTGGATATCACTGAGTTAATTAATCTTATCATGCTGTTAAGCAGAAAAGCGCCCTCAGGGAATATTTGATAACATGTGACCAATCACGTGTACAACTTGGTGCGTCTGAATATCTTGTGTCTATGGCTTAGTCTGGCTACTTGCTGGTCAAAATGCTCCAGTGCTGACGATAGTATGGTGTACTATTTACGACACACATTTCCCTCTCTCTGTTTAGCCTCCTTCCAGGCGACGCAACTACACGACGCGACGGCAGGACGGCTCCCTTGCGTCGTGCCGTCGGGTAGCACCGTCGCCTTCTTGCCATTACGTTTGTACACACACGACGCGTCGCGTTGTGCGTAGCGTCGTGCCATCGCCCGTCGCGTCGAGATGTCTCAGGTCCTTTCCATGTTGCATTTTTTCCACCTAAACGTCGCCCCTTCCGTCACCCGTCGCGTCGTGCTGTCGTACGTCGCGTCGTACGTCGTGTCGTGCGCGACGTGACGCACGACACGACGCACGACGCGACACGTCGTGTGCTGTCGAGCTTTGCTTCATGGTGTTTTTTGAGGGCGCCTTTACTGTTTTCTTTCATTTCCTTCCCCCGGCCCGTGCTTGCACAGTACGTGGCATAGGTACCAGGCCATGATTCTGTTGTTCTTTTTCGTGGATTCTTTCTAACTATGTGTTTTCATTAAGAGTGATTTGTTGAAGAAAACCCTTTTCCTTTTTTTTAATCAAATGTAATGAGAAGAGTGTCGCGATTAATCGGCATTGTCTCCAGGAAATGTATAACATTAACGTCAGCCACAACATGTTTTAGCTTTTCCTGAGCTAATTCTGATTTTTCTAATAATAATTGTAAATCTATGCTAAGATACAATACATTAATCATTATTACGTGCTTGCAAAAATGTAACATGCGGATCTGATGAAAAATTAAGCGCGAGGCCAAACAGAGAGGAAGAAAAGACACCGTCACAACGGTAGCAGGATGTACAGTGTTTTATTAAGAAACACGCCGGCGGACTAATATCATTGAAAGTGTGGTGCTCATGAAATTAACGAGGAAGACTAAACTGAAGGAAGACTGAATATTCTGAGGGTAATAATATAGTGCAGGCTAGGTGGTAACTACCTCAATCCGTGGTCAAACTTGCGGTGGTACGGTTGTAGACAAATTGTCTGGAGGAGTGGGAGAATTACTTGGAAACTGCTGGCATGGACCACAGAGAAATATTTATAAAGTTACAAATCTACCACAAATGGGAACTTCATCAACAGTCCTAAAAAGAAATTGGACGGACATACGAACACGGATCAGCCGGGTAAATTAAAAAGTGACGAATTCTGGGCTTACACTTATTATGTGAAAGCACCTACATACGCAGATTTTCTTTTTGCTCGGTTTTTGTTTTCGATAAAATGTGACAAAACTTATTCAAATTGATGAACGGATGAAACAACAACCCCCCCGCAAAAAAATCAACGTCTGCGGCTCAGGGCATGTATTTTGCAAGCGCGTTGGACGGAAATGAGAGAAAACAAAAGAAATCATTGGCTGGGAAATTAAGGAGTGGCGTATTCTGAGCTTACGGTTTCCACTTATTTTGAGAGAGCATTTCCTATTTATTGGGATTTTCTTTTGCTCTTTTATCATTTTTTCAATAAAATATTACTGAAATTAATCCCAATTAACGAATCGATGAGATAAGAACAATGAAAAATCAACACCAAAAAGCGAATTGCATGTACTTTGCAAGAAAGGTGGACGGAAATGAAAGAAAACAGTAAAGGCGCCCTCTATAAACACCATGAGGTAAAGAGCGACAGAACACGACGCGTTGCGTCGTGAGTCCTGTCATGCGTCGCGTCGTGCTTCAGGCGACGCGACGCACGACAGCACTACGCGACGGCACGACGCGACGCGTCTTGTGTGTACAAACGAAATGGCAAGAGGGCGACTGTTCGACCCGACGGCACGACCCAAGGGAGCCGTCTTGCCGTCGCGTCGTCTGGTTGCGTCGCCCGAGTGGAGGGAGGCTAAAGAGAGAGAGAAATGTTTGTCATAAATAGTACACCATAGGATGGACGTAGTCGTTGCCCTAAAAACCGCACAGGCCCATGCTGCTCGCTTAGACCCGCTGCCTCTTGACATCGCATGGTCACTTTCTCATGTTTCCTCTTGCTTTGCGGTTGAGTAAAGACAGGAAAATCCACCCAAAATGCCGGATAAGAAACCATTTGAGCGGTTGCCTAAGACAGTCGTGCCGTCGAACTACAGGCTAAAACTTGAGCCCGATCTCAAACAATTCACCTTTGCAGGAGATGTTGTTGTTTCCGTTTGTGTGAGTAAATTTCTGCCACTTTACCAGTCTGCAAATACTACTAGTGACACTAGTAACTAGGCTTGTTGCCTGTAGGCTGTAGGCTGTAACCATGTCCCGGCAGCATGCAGGCTACAGGCCTAACAAGTAACATATGGAGTTTTTACCCAGCGGGAAATAAAGACGTCCAACAGCTACAGCTGGTGTCCGTATTCAGTACTGTTGTTGCTTACGTACAGCTACAGGACCGCATACAGTCATGACAGTAGGCTTGGCTAGGCCTGTCTGATCACTGATTGACATGCTAAGCAGATGTACTATACTGTGCATGTACGGTACAATCATATACATGTACAACCTGTAATATGCACAATAGTGCACCTCCAAGAGTTTGCAACGCATTGACTAATCGCGATGTGCGAAATCTGTTGACCCAATGTGCATTTTGAATTGCCCGTATTAATGTTTCCAGCCAAATTCATCAAATTCCATCACTTGGCATGCTTAGAACACTACTTCCAGAACTGTAAGGTTTACCTTTCAGATACATGTTGCTATACTGTACAAACGAGCATATGGGTAATTCCAGAAATTGGAGGCCCAAAAGTGTGACATTTTTGTGACCCTGTTACATCTGACCTTTGTTATTTGACATGGAAATATCACAGGAATTGATTTCAAACTATTACTATCTGTTTGGCAGTTAATTTGCATTAAATTATCACTCTTGGAAATCAGAAAATGTTTTCTGAATGTACAAAATCATAGTGTAACAGGGACACCAAAAATGGACCCCTAATTTTGGGAATTAGTCATATACACACACATTTTGGCTGTTTTGATTGTGCCAAGGTACTCTGCCATCACAGCTAGGCCTATTTGTGCAACAAAATTTCATAGGCCTACATGTCCATGCCTTCTTGGTAAAGTCAGATATCTTATGGGAAGGTTAATTCACCTTACATGTATATCATTAAAATGGTGAAATTCTTGAGCATTTTGCCTATCCACACTACAGAAAATCAGCAGCATGTATGTACTCTCAATCACTGTCAGCTGCATGACAGCTTGACCAATCGCAAGACAGCTATCTTTTCCTTGCTTTCCTTACCCCATCAAAATGAAAGCCAAGCTGTGATTTGTCATTGTCAATAGTAGCAAATTGGGCCAATCACAAAGTGGCTGATTGCTCACCGAATGTCAAACTGTTACTTATTCAAGGTTAGCGGTTAGCGGTACGTGTATTTGTTCAACATTGAATGGTAAATGTCAAACGAGGAACTAACTTCACATCGGTGCTAAATTTGACATTTTGTGGCATGGTATGGATTCCTCATGGTGTCACTTTAAGGAAAAAAAAAGTGATGTTCAGATGTGGAATTCTTTCCAGTGCCTTCGCCCTGTTAATCCCCTAATTCAGAAATTTCAGGCTGCATGCAGAAAGAATACCAAATCATTTGGTCACGTTTCACCACAATGTCAACATTGAAGATGTTCAAGTAAAATCAGTGAGATTGGTTGTTTGTAGCCTTGTAGGCCTTCCAGCTATTCCTCAGAAGCGTACATAGCCTATCCTCTACTGCCTTGGACTAGGCCACAGGCTGTTTCATGCTTCACTTTTTACGGCCTGTTTTTATGTCTGAAGTCTCTAGATTCTCAGTACATGCGCAAACATTCCAACAATTTGGCACCAAAACTGAAACGCATGCCAACTCAGTTTTCCTTCACTAGAGAGTGGAATCTTTGTCCGACATTAAATTTACTATTGACTCAACTGGAAAATCTCATCTTGGATCCAAAGTAAACTGTATTTTCTCTCACCATCAAAACTTCCTTTCCCTTGAGGAGAAAAAAAATCAAAAGACTAAAGTATAAATGTATGAACTGTGCAGCTTTTGGAGTCATGGATTGGTGGCAAACTGCTGACCAGTTTCCTTTTATTATCTTGGGACTTTACTCAGGTGAATGAGGCGACAGCAAAAATTGTGCTCAACTGTGTTGACATCAATATTTCAAAGGCATCATTTGCTTCGGGAGGCAAAGGTGGGTGACTGTGTCCGGCTTAGATTATTGTGAACCCCTGTCATCGCCTGTTCTCCAATGTTGCCCATTTGGATAAAGCCTACAGGACAGGATACATGTACAGGTGTAGTTGTAGTTTGAGGGACTTAGGGAAGTTAGGGTTAAGCTTGAATTTAATGACCAATTAATTACACTGTATGACTCAGAGGGGGCAGTAGCAAAAGGTCTTGCTAACATTTTTCAGTCACTTTAAGTTTAAGGTGGAAAGCTTGCAGTAGCACCATGCTAGGATGCGATCTCTTTGTGAGTCTGTATGGTTCTGAAAAGAACAGTGAGGAACTCAACGTTTGGGACAGTATGCTCTGTCCGTCGTCAGGAGACTGTCTCCTGACGACGGAGAAACAAAACTTACTCGACTCGAACTAACTTACTCGACTCGAACCCACGACCTCCTGTTTACTAGTGCATAGGCCTGTGCCGGGTACCCGGGTACCCGGATACCCGCCCGTCGATTTCAAAACCCGGTTCCATTTTTCCGGGCGGGGTACCCGTAAAAAAGTAAATAAATTAGGAACAAATATTTATGAATAAAATGCCTGTGAAATTTCTTACTGAAGGACAGCCTTCATAGAAAACCACCATGCTGATGAAAACCCGGTCCCGCGGTCATACATGAAACTTGAATTCGGAGATCGACAGCTAATTTTGTTACCAATTCCGCCTGGCCCATTATACTGCAAGTTGTTTTCCTAGTTCCGCAATTTCCTAGTTCACAAGAGCGAAAACACTAAAATTCACGGGCGATAGGTCACTCGCTACGTGTGACTTTAAATATTTCTTTAAATTAAATAATCGTATAAACCTTTGCATCTAATGTCTGCTTAGTCAAAATGACTTTTTTAGAGTTTCCGTTTTTGTTAATTTACCGAAAACTGCAAGCTTTTCCAACACTCTCGGATCGCGCGGCGTTACCACGCAGAGTCGTTGTGAACTCAACTACACGGGCACAGCAGAAATGTATGTGATGAAATGGGTTCGTCAACTGTGCGGCGCGGGGAGGGTAACATTGATAGCTCACTGTACAGTTGAAAAGTCGAGTCTAACCTTACGCAATTTCTAC